GGTGCCTTGAGGGTAACCCGTGTAGTATTTCTGGGAATGACAAGTGCCTGAGAATTCAAACTCTTCAATAGACTGTTGTTGTGTTACTGGAATGTTTCACAGTGAGTCCTTCAGTGCGGACCTGTGTTCTCTGCGCGTTTTGTGAGTTGAGAGTGTTGTTCACCGCGTAGGAGTGACTTCGATCCGAAGTAGGCAGTCCAAACCGGGTTTCCTACACTAGCAGCAAGCTAGTGGAAGTGTTGTAAAAGCCGGAGTTGGAAGTCACTGCCCGCAGCTTTGCTGAGTGTACTCTTGAGAGACTTTCTCCCTGAAATCTTGAAGTAGAGGTCCTAACGGATCTCTGGGTTGTGTTTCTGTAGTTTCAGGTGTGTGTGTGTGTGTGTGTTACGCTGCACTGTGCGACCTCCGAGTGCGCTCCGAGTGGACACTTGCAGTATTTCTGGGAGTGACAGTCGCCTGAGAATTCAAACTCCTCAATGGTCTGTTAAACGTGACACTTTGTACCCTGTGTGTTCCTCTGTCCCTGTGGGTTCGACCTTTCTACCACTATATTGCAGTTTTAGCCTTTAGTGGGTTATTACAGTAGAACCCAACGCACATAAGCGTAAGATGACGTAACACACGTCAAGTTTTTTACCGATACAACGATGGCTTCTTCAAAAATTAAAGACGTCACGTCGTTAGATTTTGGATTAAGCTATGGATTTAAATTTTTGGACTTGGATTGGGAGACTGAGTTTGGCTAAACAACAACGTCTTTGCACCGATTTGGTGGGTTCTACATGAGCTAACTAGTGGTCTAGAACCCACCAAATCGGTGCAAAGACATTGTTGTTCAGCCAAACTCAAACTTGTTAGCTCATTTCCTACTAGTAACGTAGAGGCAATGGCTAGGAGTTTGTCATCCTTGGAGTTTTTTGGACTTTACAAGAGTGCCGACTAGAGTTGTAGCCCGTATAGTTGGAGGAGTTTCTCACGTGAGAGTTGGTTCAAAGGAGAGTACGTAGAGCCATACCGATTCTTTGGAAGATATGGCATAGCAACCGGTGAGAGTGTCATCTCCTTCTAGCGTGCCTATAGAGAAGTATTGGGAGCCATTGATTGGTCTCCAAATCACAAGAGTAGAGAGAGAACGGTTGACACAATTGTTATGTGCATATAAGAATTGTTTTGCCTTTGACATGAAAGAGTTGATTCTTTTAATTGGAACGGACATACGTATAGAGTTGGCATGTGATACTCTAATCTTTCATCGTTCCTATCAGTATAGTTGTAGCAGCATTCTTGATTTCCTTCTCATTTTATTTTCTGTTGTATGGCCAAGATCCAAACTTGCCAACATCGATTCGTCGTGAGTCTAGTGAGGTGGTGAATCTTGGTGATGCGGACATGTGGGTGAGAGTGTGTTTTCAACTTGCAGAGCTCGTTTGGAGAATCATGGATGTAGCATGCAAAACCTTGCAATTGCTCAGCATAGACATATGTTGCGATATGCAACCATATAGGGAGGGAATTATCGACCATCGATTCGTAGGTTTCATGTGGAGAACTATGTCTAAACATAGTTCTGCATAGCAGACTGCATCAAAAACATTGGATATGACGGCACGACGCACTATCTTTGCGAGTGCGAGAAGTGTTATAGTCTGGAGTTCTCATGTTGGAGAATTGTGACGGTGTTGTTTGGAAGGATCATGTGCACAACTATGCGTCATGCCATCTCCCAAAGGTAGATGGTACTATGGATCCAAGCTTGGCAATAGTACGTGTTGGCTTGAGGTGCATGTTATATGGATCTGCTGGTAAGGAGGCTTGTATGTTGGTGTGTGATAGATGTTCTAAGGGATGACACATGTCGTGCTTGACTCCATTTATTTTTGTTGTTCCGGATAGACAATGTTTTTGTTTTCAATGTACTTCAGAGGGATAGATGACTTGATCTTCATATGTTACAAATTGTTGATATGCGACTAATGATATGACAACATAGCACCCGGTCTACTGATTTGCGCAACCATGAATTTCTATAGCATGTGATTGTAGGTATGGCTACTTTGGAGTCAGAGGGACCTGACCGCCAGCTAGAGGAGCGAGTTGTGATACATTTCTCTGCGTACGATTTTTTTCCCTATACGTATATGTGTAATTATGACATGTGAACAATGTAAATTATATGATGATACATATTCACACAAAAGAAATTTTTTTTAAGATTCTCTAAAAGTAATAAATCTCTGCCAGAGTCAAGATCACAATGATACATATCTAATTATCTAATTTAACGTTTCTACATAAGCATCAATTGCTTATGGAGAAAGTACATGATTGGAGTGAAAGAAGCTAAAGACAGTATGCAAAGAAGATGATGGCATTGGATCTTTCACAAAGTTCTAGGTTGATGTGAATTTCACAACACCTTCAATGGACAAGTGTTGTAGTGGTTTACTGCAACAAATCCGACCAATGTTCTTTGATCCGCTGCTTATGCATCTCAGTTCCAACTATTGAGCTCAAGTGCCCCCCATCCTAGGGTTCAGAGTTTTTTTTACTAAACTTGGACTACTGACTCTATCTCGCTGCAAATCCCATTTTTTAACACAATTTTTCTCTTTTTTGGTCATCTTTGCTACCCCCTTACTATGTCCTCTAGATTCAAGGAAAAGTGTTGGACATAAAATATTATCCCTTGCCATTCATTCATTCTTGTAAGCTAAATTGAAATTTCGAACAATCAACCAAGCGGGAGTGAAATCTTTCGCACGTCAAACTATGGATAGTTCAGCATTTGCTGCGTTGGTTCAGGGCGGGAGATGTAACAATGAATGAGCCATTTCTTATACTTTTTGAACCAAAATAAAAAAAAATATGAAAAACAACAAGATTGGCGTAAGCCAAAAACACTTTGTCACAACCATTAATATGACTCAATTTTACCAACAGACTGTTTTTATGACATCATTTTTTAATATCACCTCGAAAATGTGTAGAATACAGCTAGTTCCCTAGTGTCCCGGATTGCTTGCTTAATAGCATTCAAGCTATATTTTTTTGCTTGGGGTATGATTCTAGGTGATGAATCTTGCACTTTGTAGGAAAAGAATATTAGTCCGACGGGTACACCAACGCTCATAAGCCGGGGAAAGCGCCTATATTTCTGCTCGATGCGGGAACATCCTCACTACAGAGAAAAGTGCTCAGTCAGGCCGCAGGCCTTTTCAATTAAGACCAAAAGCAAAAACCTTTTCTACAAGGGGACAACCCGCCTGGGGGGGCCCCCCATCAGAGACTCAAAGCAGAATATCTATCATTTTGCAGATGGCTTGTTGGTATGACAGACGGAGATGGCTGCTTTAGCATTGTGCATCAAAACGGCAAGTACAACCTTAACTTCTCCATTGCTCAAGGCAAGTACAATCTACGGATCTTGTATTACATCAAGAAGATACTTGGTGTAGGGTCTGTTAATATGCATAAGACCATAGGAGTGTATCGGATCCGGGATAGAAGGAAGCTAGCAGAGATAATATTTCCTATCTTTGACCAATACCCATGCCTAACAAGCAAGCAATTCCATTACGAGAGGTTTCGTCAAGCCCATCGGATTTTGGAGGATCCAAAGTTATTGACAGAGCACAAGTATTCCATCTGTGAGCAATTGCGGAGTGCTACTCTTCCGGAGACATATGTCAATCCTGTTTGGACGGCAAATATGGCTATTGACATCGATTGGCTTACTGGCTTTATAGAGGCAGAAGGGTCCTTCTTCTTGTATAATAGAGACGGCAAACAACGGATCTCTATCGCGTTTGGCTTAACTCAAAAGTTAGACAGGCCTTTATTAGAGGTTATAAGACGTAGGCTACACATACCTCCTCAGATCATCGAAAGGCCACACTTCTATCGATTAGAGACTACGCACAGTAGGGCTGTGCTTGGCATAAGCCAACTCTTCCAAGGCCGATTCAAGGGTATGAAATCATGGGAGTTGAAGCTCTGGTCGAGAGCCGTCTACTATAAGAAGGATCGAGAAAAGCTTGAGCAGATCCGAAGTATTCTCCAAAGGCTTCATGGCAAGTACGCGGAAATCGTAAAGCCATTTCAGGTCTTCTCAGCCCTTTGGCCATAGGGTTCGGGCTTGTAGAACCCCCATGGTCTTGGTCCGAAGGGACACCCTCCCTAAGGGTCTTCGCGCCTCTCCCCTCTCCCATTGGTCGAGCACGTAGCGCCTCTCCCTAGAGTCTCGTGGCCTTTGGGCCGTTGGTCGAGAGCTTCGCACCTTCGGCCATTATGAGTCGAATTAGACCTCTATGCTTGCAAGTTCACCTCTGTCGTACACACTCGAGATTCAAATTCTTCATTCCTATTCTACACTCAGACGAAACGACAGTGGGAAGTGATTTTGCTAGAAAAATAATCTTTATTTTTGGTCTACAGATATACAGTCGAACCCTTGTCATCTTGAAGTCGAGCTCTTCCTACAGCCGTCGACGCACAAGATAACACTTCCTACATTCTCTGACCATTGTAGTGCGTGCATATAAACAACAGACCCGCCTTGCGATTTCTGCATAGCTGTAGACCGTTTGTTGATTGCTGACTGAGCAATCAGGTAAAATCTCTATCCATCGTCCGCAAGGTGGAGGTCTGAAGTCTGTAGATACGCGGTATTCATTTGCAGTTGCATGAGCATTTGTCACCGCACTTGCGTCCTTCGTTGGCTCCCTCAAAGCTAAAACGATATCAAAACCAATATCAGCAAAAAGTACAGTAAGATAGAAGCAAGCAAATTGCAAGTTTCAAAACCGTCTAAACAGGTTGCAGTTGTGGAATATTGATCATCTAAGCAGCTCAAGCTTGAAACTAGGATACCTCGTCTGTACTTGGATGTGGTGGATGAAAATAAATTGGATCATACCCTCTCATCTCCGAACTCTCGAAGTCGTCCATGAACCTTTTAGAGCCGCAGCTTCATGGACAGAAAGAGCAGATTAGACTGCCTTGAACGAGTCTGAACGAGTCTGTCAGCTCTTGAATGATTCTGTCAGCTCTTCTAATTTGTCAAAGCACTTTTTGTGGTGTGGATCCGTCCCGTGCGCTTCTACGAGTCTGTCAGCTCTCCTAGGGGTGTCTCTGTCATTCAGCCGATAGGTGTGTCTCTGTCATTTGGCCGATAGGTGTGAGATCCGCTCCGCTCTTTTTTTGGTGTGGAACCCACTGTGTGTGATCTGCTGTAGCGTCACGCTTCGTTATAGATGGTTGCACCGGGCCAAGCAGGGAACTATACTCCTGCGTGACATTCCGCGAAGCTTCCTTCGCGGAAAGTGCCTAGAGTTTACAGTACGCGTATCACCCGAGCCAAGAGCATATTTGCATCGATCCATTTGGGCGGAATGTTACACCCGGGGTCGGTTTAAGGGCAGGGCTTGTCAAAGCCCTGCATTCCTTCATTCTTCTTCTTCTCCTCCTCTTTAGAATCGAAATACAGTGGATATCGCCAATTCCAGGGCGTTGAAAAGGCAGGATTGTTCCTCTACACGCTCAGGTGCTTGATACTCCCTCCTCGTTATGATTCTTGTGACCGAACTCATGAGTCTTAGGCCAATGAGATTATCGGATAAGTTGGTCACGGTAAGCTCACGCTTTGACCGGATGGATGAATGCAGAATGTCGTTGGGGGGCACTTGGCTGCAAGGTCTCGGTCGACGGGAGAATCGGGGCACTTGGCTGCAAGGTCTCGGTCGACGGGAGAATCGAGGCTCTTCTTCTTCTTCGAAAAGCAAGGTGGGCATCGAGCGGGAGAATCGAGGCTCTTCTTCTTCTTCGAAAAGCAAGGTGGGCCTCGAGCTGGTCTGGAACGAGGTGTATGAACTGATTACGGGCCAGCTGAAATCAGTCTCGTCGGTCCGTCGCCAACCTCCCTGATACGAATTTCCTGATACGAATTCGCGGAAAGTGGTCGCGGAAAGTGCCTAGAGTTTACGCGTATCACCCGAGCCAAGTGCATATCTTTATACTTCTCCAAGTGCATATGTTTATAATTGTACGCCGTGGATGACAACCCAGAGCAGAAGGAGCACAGGCTCGCTCGATTCAAGCTGGGGAAGTCACAGCTAGGTGGGCCCCGAGCTTCGAATATCATCCCCGCTACTGGAACCGGCGCCGAATCGCGGCGCCGAATGTCGAATAGCGGATATTGCGGTTTTGTCGCGTAGCGGATATTGCGGTATCGCCGGGTAGAATGCTCCAGCTTTCATGTGCATAGAATATAAGAATGCTCCAGCTTTCTTATAAGAACATGTTCGGCGAAGCAAAGATACAAGTCTTCAAGGCTGCTTGTTATCAAGCGCTTACCTAGCAATAGGTGACGCTATTGCTAGGCGTCATTGGGCAATTGAAACTGCACGTACTCCCAAAATTTCTTTCTGCTGGGAACATAGTCAACCAATGTGAACAACTATTATGTTCGAGAACTGTAAAGCAGCGCCCACCGGGGCTACTCGAACCGGGCGCGAGGACGATGGGGAGAGCGCACCGGGGCTACTCGAACCGGGTCATAGAGTCCGACCGGTGCCCTCTGCCGGTCTCCGAGTCACAAAGCTTCTTTGAACCGGGCGCGCGGGCGATAGGGAGCGCCCGCCGGGGCTATTCGAACCGGGCGCGCGGGCGATGGGGAGAGCGCACCTGCTACTCGAACCGGGCCCCGTAAAATTTCCCGGCGAGCTTTGAGTTTATAGGTGTCCTACTGCGGTCTACGAGTCCGCGGGAGTACCCAGGGGGGCTCGGGTCCTCCCGCGAACGTTAATGTGGCGCCCGGCCCCGACAAATCTCGCGGCGAGCTTTGAGTTTATAGGACCCGTATAACGTAAAACGTAAACCTCCCGCGAACGTTAACGGTTTAGAGGTGCTTTTAGAGATGCTTTATTGGTAGATTAAACTCTATATGTAGGTACTGAATCCTTAACCTTATTCTCATCACACTGTTAGCGAACAGTGTGATGAGAATCGCGATCCGGAGTCGACCAAATAGTCGACCCCATAGCTCGTTAGATTCTTCCCAGAGTTGTCTCGTGTTAGATTCTTCCCGAGCTGTTCCGGTGTGTACCAATATAAACTTTGGCTTTCATTCCCAATCTAAACTCCACTCCTCCTTGAAATTTATAATTTCTAACTGTTTGGCTAGAGTAGGCTCCATCTTGATCTTGTCGTTCAGAATTTCCAGAGCTGATGTTCAATTTTCTCAATATGTCAAGACGAGATCATCCGAGATCATGCGTTCACCTGATACGGATGGCATGTCTCGTCATTGTGTGTAAGATGTTGTGTGTTTCGTTCTGCATGTTCTGTTTATCAGTCAGTCCATGCATGCACATCTAGCTCATTTGGTCAGCTATCTCGTGTTACCCGATTGATTGTCAACATTTTTCCTTCATTGGAAAATGGGATGGAGAGGCAAGTTACAGTATTCTGGTGTCAGAATTTGCACGAATTTACATCCGTTACATTTTAGCAACACTCTTGTCGATGCATTGAGACTTCCTTTCCTCAGTCCGACTAATCCTTGGCGATATGACTGTTGCTTCAGCATGCGAGGTGGCAGAGAGAGTAGCGTATTACGCCATATCTTCCACTCTCACAGTCTACCTTACGACAGTCCTGCAAGAGACAGAGGCCGAGGCAGCCAAAAACTATATCATCTGGGCAGGAACTACGTTTCTTACTACCATTATTGGAGCATTTGTTGCGGAACCATTCTTGAGTCGTTATTGGACCATCTTCTGGTCCATGATACTATATTTCCTGGTATATATCTCTACTTGACGACAATTTTTTTTCACGTTAAAGCTCGGTGTCGAATTTTCTGGAGTTGCTTTTACCAACCAAATACAATCTCTCGAATTCTCCGTATGTCTTGAAGATTAGAATGTAGTATTTAAGTTTCCTATATTCAAAGCTTGTGCAAATATTCTGCAAAGCGTGGACTGAAAGACGGATGCTCCATGGCTCAGTTGACGAGATTCTGAATTGGAAACTTGCAGGCATTGGTTTGTGTCACGGTCTCCATGTCCTTCGAGCCATTCAAACCTCCGACGTGTGATCATCATCTCCTCCCCACCATGTGCGACAAGCCTAGTGTGCCCCAAAGAGTCTTCTTCTATGGTTCATTGTACTTGATGGCCTTAGGAGCGGGAGGAATCAAGGCATGTGTGACGGCATTCTCTGCAGACCAATTCGACGACACTGATCCTGGGCAGAACCATGAGAGGGGGTCGTTCATGAACTGGTGGTGTTTCAGTCTGAGCGTCGAGCGTATCATGGGCTCGGTGGCCTTCTTCCCTTGGGTGCAGGAACAGTATGGTTGGGTATGGGTCGGAGCAATTCCAGCCGGAATCGTTGGATTTGTAACTCTGAGTTTCATTGTCGCTCATCCTCTGTACTACCATCAAACCCCCCCTGGAAGTGCTTTCACAAGAGTTCTCCAGGTTCTGGTGGCTGCTTTCAAGAAGAGAAACTTGGAACCGCAACCTGATCTTCACGAGCTGTTTGACCTGAGCCCGTATCATTCAGAAGTTTCCATATGTGTTGTTCCTTGACAGAGGTTGTAAGTCAAAGTTCGGAAAGATCGATACGTGGCTGAAGACTGATGAAAAAATTCTCATCCAATCTAACAATTTTGAGACATCTAGGCTCGAAGGGACACATCAGCTACGAATTCAATAAAAAGAGCTTTGCGTTTGTAATACAGTACCAACTAATTTTCAGATTTCTTCTCAAGGAAAATTGAATTCACCATGATTTCGTCACCGAAAAGGTATGAAACGAACATTTCTGGATGAGTCTGGTACTTGTAAGATTTGCTCCAGACTAATAGTGTACTCTGACATAGGGGTGGGCACGACTCGGCTAATGGCTAGCCGGCTAATATCTTTTGTTAGCCGGCTAGCCGATTAACACTGCCACTTCTATCGGAGGCCGAAAACGAATCATAAACTCGGACAGAATTTACGTTTTCGGCCGATTATGTATTCAAATTGGGCCGAAATTATTCAGTAAATATTTATTTCGACCAAATATTTCGGTTGATTGCATTTATGTACTCATATTGGGCCGAAATTATTCAATAAATATTTATTTCGACCAAATATTTCCGTTTATTGCATTTTCGGTCCATAGCCGGCTAAGTTTGAGGTCCACCCGGCTAGCCGAAAGTTAGCCGGCTACGTGCCCATCCTTACACTGACATGATCCAAAGCTTTGGTTCGCTCCTTTGATGGTTCTGGGAACAACAGTACTAATTATTGTGGTACATTGGAAGGGCGTTTAGTGTTATACAAAACGTAGATCTACTCATGTTGCATTAGACACGATCGTCTTGAGCATTGAAGGTGTTCTCTTAGGACCTCTGTTCAGCAAAGCAAGTTTTAGAGGATACCGATACTCCGGCGAAAGGCCAACTACAAGATTTAACCGGAATCCGTACTCTTCGTACCTAATAGTCAAACATGTACAGGGGATTGTAGGTCATCAGGTAAATGAGACATAGGAGGGATACATTTCTGAATAATTATGAATTGTCAGAATTTGTAGCAATTGTTGTGCAGGCAATGAAGTGATATGTAAGCACATATTTCAACTCACCCGAAAACAACCGGGTTGTTTTGCGGTCCATTCCCGGACGAGACGTTTTTAGGTTGAGTAAGTAGGTGATTGGTGGGGTTTTAATTAATTCCTGACGGAATTTGCAGGTCTCAACTTATGCCCTTACGATGAGGTGGAGATACTGTATTTCCAGTAGTCACTCCATTTCCGGCAGTGTTCAATGAAGGCATTGTCAGGAGAGAACGGGCAAGTTGCGTCTCTTACCGCAGTTATTGATCCCTCCGTGCTCTCGATGATAAAATTCCTGGTTTCATCGATCCACCTCGTCCTATTTTATCTTCAGGTAGATTTGCCCGTGCAGTCTCCTAGTAAGCCTTTCAAAGTCATCCTGAATACTTGCAGATCGGCGATCCAGTCTTGTTCCAAATCTCACATCTTCTTGTCGATCGTTACTCTTGCAGCAGAGCTTCGCCGCTTCTCTTTTAACAGCCGTCGTTGAATGACGATCGGTGCGTATACCGGCCGTCCTCTCCCGGGCTGGGCGAGGAATGAATTTTTCTCTGAGCTAAGTTTCTGCACTTCAAATCAACTGATTCGGCAACACTGGAAATGGATGTGCCCATGGATGTACAACTCTCAAGATCAGAAATTTCAGAACTCGCATTAGGCCTCCGATCGGGTTCGGGTAGAGGGCTGTACCCGACCCGAAATTCAATAAAGCAACGACCGATAAGAGCTCAGCTGCAAGCCCGTCGTCGTCGTCTGCATCGGCTTCCGCTCCGTCTCGCCGAAACTCTCCTCCTCCTCTCGTGTCTAGCATCACTCCTCGTCCCGCCTGCTACGTACCTCGCTCGATGCGATGCAGGCACCCGCTCCCTTGCTTCTGCGTCTAGCTGGGATGCGCTGCGCTACCTATGCTGCTCTTCCTGCCTCCTCAAAATGCAGCTCCAATTTCCCGAGTCTCCCTCGCCGTCCCCTCGCGATCATGGATCCGCCGACCGATTCGGGTTCTACCCGAATCCGACCCGGTTGTTCGGGTCGGGTTCAAGGTCAAATCCGACCCGAACCCGACCCTATCGGAGCTCTAACTCGCATCAACGTCAGCATCCGCATCCTCTGACCTTTTAGTACTCTTCCGTGATGTTCTTCACGAGGAGTCTTAGCCGTCTCTTCGTAGGCCTTGGCAGCCGATATGGCAGCTTCCATGGTGGAGTTATTACTTGCTTGCAGGCAATACTTGCGAATGGATGTCGGCAGTCCCTTCAAGTACCACCAAACCTTCAATCTTTCAGGATAGGGTTCATCGACACTCTGCAATTGATTGATCAACCTTGTCAGTTTGATCGAGTATTTTTTAATGGATTCATCAGGCTTCTTCTTTATTCTGCTGAGTTTGGTCAGCAATCTGTCAGGATTTCGACGAAATTTCTTCACAAGCGCAGCGCGGGGGCTTTCCCAATCTCCTCGTTCGTCTGCATTCAAAGACGTGTACCAACTGAGAGCTCGTTCCTTGAGCAAATTGGGAAGAGATCGCAGTTTGTCTTCATCCGAGACCTGTTCGTTGTACTGCGCGATGGCTTCGAAATCTCGGAGGAAATACTCGACATCTTCAGATGGACTTCCATTGAAATCTGCGCTCTCAATGGTGTAATGTTTTTCGCAGTAGGAGTCATCCATTCTCAGCCTAACCGGAAACGTTGGTCGTATGAGGCCCCAGAGTATTTCGTCCCCCTCATGACAGATTCTGCGTCCAGCTCTAGCCGCTTTCCCACCTGCATCGAGGCTCGTCCTCGTCCTCTTCCTCTGCTTTCCCACAATTTCTCACTCCGACAAGTTAGAGATGGCCGACCACGTCGGTTTGAGATAAAGCTTCCAGAAATCGAGGATCAATTGTTCATTCGCCCGTGCACTGAGCTACGTACAAACAAAAAAGTGATTTTAAAAGTGCAATGTGGAGCAATTAGCTCGCTTTCAGAAAAGCCCAAATTCTGTCGAAGTGTCTGAATTAGCCTGTAGGTGATCTTCTACGAAATGAGACAGTGCCTCTGATAACTAAGCATCCACGTCTATAATCTACAATCATCGGTGTTTCTCTACGGAATCCTATTTACATCTTTCTCTCTATTTAACAGCCACACGAGCCCGCTTCGGCAGTCAGATCGAAGAGCATCACCGAACAGCATTGCGAAGATTGCAGAACGACATTTTGAAATGCCTACAAGCTCAGGGCTTCTGCTGAATTCGAGTGTTGAGAAAGATGGTCAGGATCTCATCCTCCATCCACAGCGCCTACCTCACCTTAAGTTAAGGCCATGGGTCAGACTACAGTGATAGTCTCTTCGACCGTTGTATTTCTAGTTACCTTCAGAGCAGCAATCGCAGAAGCATGCTTTGTTGGAGATGAAAGTGGTTGGGTACTTGCAATCGGAGCCAATGCCATTGGCAACAATTATACGACTTGGGCCGACAGTGTCATCTTCAAGTTCGGAGACTACGTGGTAAGTCTTTGGGATCCAACTTTTCAATCTGTTTCTGAATAGATAAACCTACACACTCTAACATTTACGAATCTATTTCCACTCTACTAATCACGACCATTTACATGAATCAAATCTCGGGCCACACTAGGAAGTACGATCAGAATCGACTGTAAATCTATTTCTGTAATAGTTGCACAATTCGAGTACAAGAAAGAAATTCACAGTATGCTTCAGATGAATGGACATGCATTTCCGGATTGCATCACATCTGACCCTCCAGGTTCATGGAAAGACGCCAGTACTTCCATCGAGTTGAACACGATGTGAACTCATCTGTGACACAGGACGGTGTGGATCATCTGCGAACAAGGACAGAAGTTCAGAGGAACTGTTTTGCTAGCTCTCTTCCTGTCTCTGACGGATAAACTCAAATTCCTCGCGCATCTGGTACTCAACCTGGAGCTGGGAAGGGCAATATCGAGGTTCTCAAACTCTGCTGCCATTATCGGGAATATCATTGCAGGAGCATTCTACCTCCTGGAAATTCGGTTTGAATCATAGGCTGTATACGAATCATTATCGTTTGTACATGTCTGAACTTTACACAAGAAGTGGAATTATTTGGACTACCAGAAAACTCAAATATCTGATAATGGGATTGTTTACACATAATTTAGAGAGATAAGATCTTACAACGTGTATAGAAAGAAAACTCAAAACGCAGTTGCAGTACTCGGTAATATCCATATTTTCCTGGAAGACATAAAGTTCAGAGTGTAGTTTTTCATTATTGCTAACACTGTGATGAGAATAACGTTAAGGGTTAAATACCTACATATAGAGTTTAATCTACCAATAAAGTAGTCTCCCGTTTAATTATGCAACTTGAACCCTAGAGTTTTGAGAGCATTTAAGCATTTAACTGGTAGTTGCGTATTTCAGAATGTCAAAGAAATTGTCTATCAAACATTAGAATGAGTCCCTTTACGAGATCATTGAGACTGAAACCATAAACTTTACGAGATCATCTGAAAATTGAAACCCTCCAAGCAAATGCGCTCTTGTGCATGAGTACGACATTCGCGAAGGCCTTATCAGGAAAGTATGAAACAAAATAGATTTTATTCTTGAACAATAATCTTTACTCTCCCAAGAAGCTAAACATAAGAACTTCAATTGGATAATCTTCCCACTGATGCAGTCTGCAAGCCTCTGGAGTCAAGTTTTGGGAACGTGATCTTGCCATTAGCATTATATTCAGCAACGTTTTGCCATGAAGGAGATGGCAGGAGTTTATGGCTTCTGACTGTGGGTGGAAGCTGTGAGTTGAACACCGCTAACTTCGACTTCACGAGGACTAGACATCGCATCACAAGTAATCTTCTGAGAATAGAGCATGATTGTCTCCTGTAATGAGAATCTAGACTTCACTTGATAGCTTTAGAAACAGAAGAAATGGGCAGTTTGGGTTCAATTTGGATGTCCGAAGTGAGTGATCCAATCCTGGTACAGTTCAAATAAATGAGACAATGGTAACTGCAGGACAAAAGGATAATTGAAAACCACAATCAGGTGGTTCAGCTGAAGCAATGGGCCTGTGATTCTCAGTCGCATGTAGCTGCCAGCATGACATACAAACAAGTGCAGCAGAAGCAGCAGAAGGGTGCAAGCCCGAGCTTGCGAGCGGAAGTTGGGAAAGCTTCAGTAAGTTTTCTATAATGTCATGACAGTACATTTAGTGTACAGAGTTTCTTATTCAGTGGTCCTGCGTGGATGTAGCCTAGCGAACAGTCGTGCTTCTCTCTTTCTATAGTATGAGATAGTCCAGGATTTCCAGCCATCTTGCGCATCCTGCATGCGGATTCCCTGCACTCATTCAGTTCGTCGCTTCCTTCGAAATCTGAAGGCTGCTCTACTCCAAAGTAGGTCTCGTCTTAAGCTCACTATTCCGTGCACGAACTGAAGGTTTATCATTCATCAGATGTCGGTCCAAGGGGATCTTCATTTCTCGGTAGATTTCGGCACAACTACCTGCCTTCCACGCTGCTACTATTCCGGTCAGATTTGCAGTGAAGCAATGATTTAGCTAGTGTGTACTTGTCTTGCGATCTTAGGTAGAACGTTGTTTCTACCGACCATTCCTATCCACTTGGTTCTCGACGACAAAAAGCTTACAACGGACAATCTGTCACAATCTCAAACATAAGGTAGCTACCTTATGGAATCCGTTACGTACTTGAGAACTAGAGCTGCTACGAGTCTGAGTGCCGGAAGAGATCGCAGTACCTTTCAATTCCAATATATTATTATTATTATTATTATTATCCACGGCAGCTATCACAATGAGAGATGTCACTGTGGCCTAGCACGTGCGTAGGGCACTCATCCTACGCACGGATCCACTCCGATTCAGTTCCAAATTTCAGTCATTTTAACTTCCGCTTCTGTGTTCAGGGTCTGCTGGTGTGAGCAGACCCTGAACAAAGTACAACAGCTTTGAAATGGACAGGTCTCTTTGGAAGCGACCGAACTCATCCAAACTCATAATGCCATGATTTTACTCCGACTCCCAAAATTTTCCTCGGCATACAAACTCGATCGCCATTGAGCAAATTTGATTGGTCGAAATTCAATATTTATGTGTTCAAGAGAGCATGGTCATATACAAACTACACAGTTCACCCTAAAGCAACGGGGATCTCGAAAACTACTGATTTATTTTGACTGTCTCTTCAACACTCCCCCTTCTCCGATTCTATTCCGCTGTACAGTGGTTGCACCCCCGCTTCTGGAGATCCTGATTCGCCACTTTCCATCCTCTCCAGCTCTACCTCGGCAGGTCGTCTCCCCAGACTGCTCTATCCAGGCCTACAAACGTGAGCATAATCTCTCGCCGATGCACGTCGTGTGTTCTGGTCAATTCGGACACGAGCCGGAGCAAGACCACAACCATTCCATTTATTCAATCACCAAGCTACAAAGTCTGGATAGAAACCGAATCCATCGATTTTGGACGAGTAAGAGACTTCCCGAGCGTGGCAACAAATACAAATCGCATCCATGGGAGATCTTTCATTCTCGGCTCGCCTGCATCAAAGCTCGTCCTTGGCAGCGGCCACTTTGGTGGAGACGGAGGCGCAAGCGTCGACGGGAGCGATGCCCACGCGCTCGTTCTCGACGTCGTAGAGGTAGTAGAAGTTCTGCTGCTGGATGTTGCCGACGATCGTGAAGCCCGAGGTGCCGGCGAAGGCCAGGCACGTGGTGCCGCGGTTGTCCACCTGCAGGAAGACGTTGTTCGCCGGCAGCACGACGTCGACGCCCTGGAACTGCAGCGTGACGGCGGGGAACGAGGGGCTCGGCACGCCCGACAGGTCGTAGCAGAGGTCCAGCCCGATCTGCGAGCCGTCCACTTGCGGGTAGGCGATGAGCGCCTGCAGCGCGCCGAGCAGGGGCGCGTACGCCGATTGGACGAGGTGCGTAATGGTCGTGCCGGAGTCCAGAATCACTCCGCCGCGGCCCGTGAGGATGTCCAGCTTGAACGCGCCGGCGGGGATCCCGGCCACCGGCTGGCCGTTCACCGCGATCCCGTTCAGCTTCACGTAGTAGAAGGTGTCGGCCCACGGGTTGCGCACGAGAGGGGTATACCGCAGTCCCAGTCCCTCGGCGGTCCACAGCGCGGCGTCTCCGAAGATGAGCGGGCTGGACTCGGCGGCGGACCCGAAGAGATCCACCAGACAATAAGCGAATTTGGACCCGATGAGTTCCCCGATCTGCTCGTTGAAGGATACGTCGCCGCGGCCGAGCCCGACGAGCCCATCGGTTCCCGAGAATGTCCCCTGGTTCTTGTGCCCGCAGCCGAAGGCGAAGTTGGGCACCGACTGCGTGGATCCGTCGACTGCAGTGAGCGTGAGCGTGTCGAGCGCGAAATCGCCCTGCGTGGTCGACTGGTCGCCGTAGCCGTAGCGGTACGAGCAGTAGCCGCCGCTGTAGGAGACCGAGGGCAGCTGCAGGCACAGGTAGCTGAAGTACCGGACCTTCCTGTACGTGGTCGACTTGCTGGGGTCGAAGACCGGGTCCGGCTGCCGGTAGCAGGACGTGCAGGGGGCGCATTGCAGCCAGACGAGGTCGCTTCCCGTGTCGACGATGGCGGTCCTCGTCTGCGGGGGAGTTCCCAGGGATATGCTCATGATGTAGCTCCCCGGCGATGGACTGACGGCAGTCTCGAAGCTGCCCGACCTTGCGGTGCTCTCGGAGGCCGCGTCGAATGGTACTCCTCTCGGAGTGATCCCGCTCGCCACGATGTTTTTGATGCTGGCCACTCGGGCGCTGCTGCCCTTCATGGCGTTGCGGACCCTCTCGTCGAATGTGGCCTCGGATTTGTGGAGTGGCGAGTCGGGATGGTGGTCCGCATGCTTCAGGGAGGCGATAATACCTTTGGCTCTCTCGGCCGACGATGGACTCGCGAACAGCAGCACGAATGCTGCTGCTACGAGCACCGGGGTTTTCCAGCAGCCGAGCGCCGCCATTGTTTCTCAATCAGAACTGAGCTCTCGAGTTGGATTTTGCCGGTTATAAGCTGTCGAGTACCTTGTTGAGACGAGATGTAATGGACTCAGTCTGACGACATGCTCTCTCTTTGAGAGCTTTATAGTCCGGGAGCTGCAGCTGGACTCCGAGGACGCTGAGAAACGTGCGTGTTTTCCCTCTTGCTGGATCCAGCAGCAGCAACGCTCATCACGGACCTCAATTCGAGTCACATCTTCTGCATTGGCACGCCTCCTCCGGCTCCGCCATACTTAATTTACATATGAAATCCCTCGCAACATGTTCTGAGTTCATGACTGGAACTCTGGACGTCGTTCTGTGCCAGTGAACGCAGTCACTCATCGACCTTCAGATTGCAAACACTCATGCAAGTTGATTCTGAAGACAGGGGACCTCTCATGTCCGCAAATTACAATTTCAGAAAACAGTTTAGTCACGATGAAGCTGAACTGGGATTCACGTGAACCCCCTGTGCTGTTTCGGATGCCAGAAGATGTGCGTGTCGAGTGAATTACTAATGTTGAAACAGGCATCGTTCATCAATCAACGGCATCTCACACGAGAAGTCTATGAACAATGTTTTTCGCATGGTCAAATCTTTGAAATGTTTAAACAACGCTTTTCGACAAGATGAAACCAGATCACATCCAGCAACGAAGTTTTTTTGAAAAAAATTTCAGCCTTTCTCAGTGGATGTGATTCGCTAGTTTCTCGGATAAATTTTAAGGCACAAGGCATGGCATAATCCCAAGGCTGGTACATATAAAACACTATCCAAGCCGTAGACATATATCATCTTCACATTTCGTCGAGCGCTTTGCTTTCCTCCTCGCCGGATCAGATAACTAACATTTTGCAAATCTCTATGACAGACCCTTGTGAGTTCAAACACAGACGAAACGCACCGCTTTACAGAAGTTGCAGAAGAAGGTTTGGAAGTAAGACGACGTGGATGTGTGGGTATGAGAAACGAATTCTCATTCCAAAAAACCATCCGGGCCATTTATAACTTGATTGATGAACAAAAGTATATAGTAAATCATCATCCGAACAACTTTGCTATGACCATCCGAATCCTTTGCATGAATGCACGGAGTTCTTTGGACATTGGCCCGTTCACACGCTGACACAAATCGGTCCAAGCTACATACTAGTGATGTCGGCGTCCTGCGTAAATAATGTAGGCAAAAGGATGGGAGAAACCCCATCAAGTCGTGCATGGATGAAACCGAAGGGATAAGTTGTCGAGACCTTGGGACATGCAGACTACGTATTTCATCCAGGGTGCAATTTATATTAGAAGCTAGGAGGGTTGTTTATTGGAGAGATTCATGGAATGTCCTACAAGCATCGCCAAGATACTTTTGCACATCATATTAGTCGTACGGAGAAGATAAACAAAACAGAATATACCTTCGCTTTAGAAGCAAGAAACCCACAATTGTGACAATCAAGAATCAAGATTCATTATTTCAGAGACATTTGTTCCGCTTTAACATAGTGATGTCCAATGACGGGAGCATCAGCTCAAAGTTTCTCAGGCAAATTGCACTTACAGTGTAAATGCAATTTTGCCCTATAAACCTAAGTGCCCTTTTGCGTGTAAGTCTTACACGCAAAAGAAAATCATATTCACATGACCTTATCCCTCTCGGACACTATTCTTCAGACACTTTCCCCGCTACTATCAACCGTTACCATCAGTTCAAACGCTTACGGAATTGCAAATGGGTTCAATCCGGGCTGGAAATTGACTGTACTTTTAGGCAGGAATCTGAAAGGATATGACTCAGGCAGAGGTGGAAAGGATTTCCAACTGTCGGAACTTATGGTGTATGTCGTCATGACGTATTTATCACACACGTGGAGACAATCATCTTCTCCAACGAGATCTATACTAGCAACCCAATATCCAGTGGACTCATCTCCCCTGAACAAAGTGCATGATGACAACTTCACCAGGCTCAAACTGTTCTCAAAAAGTTGGTACAATGTCACGGTGGCTTTGTTCGCCGGGGCTCTGTCTATGACCACAAGCAAGATGCTCGAACCACATAGCTTGAGATAGCTCTCGAAAAGTGTCTCATAACGGATTTCAAGGGAGCCAACTTTCGTCAGGGATCCGCTTTCAAGATTGAACCGGAACACATTTATGACACACAGAGTGCCTGTGTACTGGAAGAAGCTGAAGGAGCGGTCATTCCATGGCCACATGAAGTACAGGTTTCCATTCAGATACACATTACACCGAGAACAACTTGCGAAAGTCACCGACGTCGACTGCTTTGTCCAAACTCGCGGAGCCGAGCTCAAGCTCGAAGAATCATACGTACGCGTTTCAAGATAGGCCCCCAGCTGTGGACCGTCTCCCATCTTGCAGGAAATTCCATACAATATTACCTTGTAGTCCTCCTTGCTGAGTGGAAGCAGAATGGGCCGACACCAGTTGACACTCGGATCGTCTTCGATAGGAAGAGGAGGCAGGGTCCTTTCTCTGCGAGTCAGAAAATTTTTGACAGTCACAACTGGTCCATCTCTTGATCTCTCGTACATGCAAATTAAGGCTCCTGCCACACTGGCTCCTGCTATTGATGGAGGAGGGAACTCGGTGCTGACTGCTACCAGAGGCCTGTAGGTGAATGTACGCCAAACGTTGTTGCTTTTGTCGAATCCGAGCAGCTTGTCGTTGAAGACGAATGCCGGGCAATAAGTGGGCCATGTGGATGAGTTTCGGCTCACAAGAGCTTGAAAATTGGAGTGCATCCGCTTTGAAATCAGTTTTATGCCGTAGACTTGAGGGAAGGGAATTGCGGCCACGATCTTCTCTATCACAGGATATGGCAAGTTTTCCCCATCTTCTGCTCCATTGGAGGTGTTGACGTTTGTCAACTTGTCAGGCAATGCTCGATGCACTTCAGTATCTTCTTGAGAGTTTCTCATGGTGTCGGAGTGGCAACTCTATGTTGCGGTGAGTCTTTTCAACTGAGAGATCTTCTATCTTGATCTCACGTGCAATTTGCATTACGATACCAAACTCCATAGAAGAACCTTCATCTGCTCAGCTGGAGCCCAGTTCTAAACTTTTATATCCAATGAAGCTTAGGTCTGAATTACCATTCCCTGTAGTTCTCATCTCTTTGTTTTCATTTTGTCACTCTGTGTACAAGATAATGTCAAGAACGTTATTTCCTTTCATATTTTGAGAATATTGCGACAATATTGCTCTGTTTTCTGTTCAATAGCTTATCTTAAGTACACAATCTGCGCAGTTTTTTAAGGATATTTTTCCCTTACTGGGTAAAAAGTACCGGAATATGTGTAGTTTTCTTCTCTCACTACTCAAATATGAAGAGAACACTACCCCTTTGAAATCCGAATGTACCTGATTTCTGTTGTTATTTTCCCGAATGCGGTGTATGCGCCTCGGGAGAAAAACTACAGTTACTGTACTCGACTCGGCATCAATTGTCCTGCTAACCGTCTGAAAGCGATCGCGACAGAAAGTACAGAAGTCGTTTTCTGATTAAAACTCAACAAACTTGCAGTGAGAGATAGTACTTAAGTGGTTGTCACTGAAGTACTGTATAGTGTTCTTGTATTTAGGCAGGCCGTTCATTGTCTTGAAAAGGCGTAAGCCAGAAGCGTTATGCTTATGACAGAAGTATCATAGTTTCTCTATTATCATAGGAACGAACATCAACTCTAGATTAATCGCAGAACTAAACCTGGCCTTTTAACTCTGCCCTTTATGAGCTCAGTTACAGCGATTGAGCTCTCTAAAACTTTTGCTTCAAGCAAGATAATTTCTCACATTGGAACGAAAATTGCAGATTGTTCCTGATGATGGACAATTTCAGACTTCACTAGCAAACAGAAAAAGAAAATATCAGCGTAAGCGACGAGCAACACGATCTTGATAATCAATATATCCTGGCCTACGAAGAAAATTCAGATCTTTTGCATTTGGAAGCAAGAGGCGGGAAAAATTCAGATTTTGAGCAATTATGGGAAAGATAGGAAAGAAAATCATGGTTTCGAACTTTAGGTTCCAACAATGATATATGAAACTTTAGGCTCCTGACCTCACACAAGAGAAACATTTTTGTGTGCTCTCTTAACTGTTTGTAACTACCTTGGTCGTACCAGTCCAGCTGATTGGAGTTCATGTCATAAGTTGACAGCATGTTTGACATGAAACGGATGTACGTAGACCGGTGCCATGGCTTTCGCTGGGCAGTCGGCCAAAGCTGGTCGATGGGAGCTGAAGATAACCCTTCCCTTACCTACTGTGTCAATTGGTAAGATGATCTTGGTACAGTTGTTAATAATTGAACATGTACTGTTCGCTTGAAATTTTGTGTGCACTTGACTAGCTAGCATACATCAGATTGACAAGATGTTCGATAAAAGATGCAGAAGTGAAACAGGAAAACAAGGGTAAATGGCAAGAAATTCAGCCCAAAGAAATGATATTGTATAACGATAATGGCGTTGAATCATATGTTTCATGAACACAAAATAATGATCAATTGCTTTTATATTCTTACATTTTTCATGTATAATTTAATCATGTGACTGCTGATATTTTTCTACAGAAGCAACATTTAATTTTATCTATATATTCTTCTTAGTAGAAGCCAATGCAATATCTAATTGTGATCCATCTCTATGTCACGATTGTACAATATCCTCATTCTTCTTCATCGTTTGGTTTCGTTTCTTCCATCAATATTCCAAGTAAATGTTCAACTTTATGAAGACATTGACTTTACCTTCTTTGTGTCCCTACCGGACGCTGGCGCTGGTTTATACGCCCAGCAATACATAGCAAAATGCCACTGGAATTTGGTGCATGCAATCCATGTTCGACTACTGTAGCCCGCTATTTGCTATTTTTTTGAGGCCAAAGAAGAGCAATACAGGTTCAGAGCCTTCACGCTCACTTTTCTCTCCATTTTTTTTTCCAACTCATTGTCTTTTCCTTCCTCCAAATCCTCTCTACTCTTTTTCTCTTCCGGTCATTTTCTCTTTCTTCCTCTCTCACCGCTCTCTTGGTTGTCTTCTGCAACTTTATGTAATATGATACGACCTGTTGTCGTTTTGTAAGTCTTTGGACCCAAAATTCGGCTCAATATCGATGTTGGACTGATCTATACTCGCAGGTATAGCACGGGTAATAACAAACATTCAGAAGTTAAAGTCAATTTAGAGACAAAGAAAAAGATGTAGAATAATCATAGGCCATTATCATCTGTTTGAAGAGAGCAGTTCGATGCAAGCACGAGCTCCTTCGTCGTCTCGGTGCGAAACTAGCAAACATTCATAGGGCTTGAGTTTGCGCAAATAGTAAGGGAGATACTAAGAGGGAGAAAAAACGCAAGTATTTTTTTCTTTCCCAACATAGAAGCCACATGTTTTAGTGTGTGGTTTTGTTTCTTGGAGAGAACAAAGGCAAGAGATCTAGTTGTTGGATAAGTTTCGTGTTCTTGTAACAGTTGATATCTATCTTCACACCATCCAAACGATCATCACATAGCTCGCCGCTATTGGGCATTGCATGTCTCATAGTGACTTTATTCACTACACACTTAAGGGATTCCTCTTGTCTTGGGTTCCAGTTGTCTTGAATTTTTACCTGTGATCTTCCTCGTGATCCGCCATCAGACTTTACCAACCTCGTGCAGGCTTGCAGAGTGAGAGTATTTGGATTGAGTATCATTAGGAGAAAGACCTCACGGATGCAGTCATTCGATTCTTCCGCAAGCCACGATTCTCAAGGCTGTCTTTTCAACACACTCCCACATAGTATTTTGGAGCTGAAGGAGGTAATTCTAACAGGTCAACTCAATCAAATACTCGATGTAACTACTGTGGCAGACTTAATAAATGGGAACAAGATTGTGATCTCAAAAAGTGGTACAAGTAAAATTTGCAGCTTCAGGTTAGAGCTTCCAACATGTGGCGCATTAAGATGCAAGCTAACGCTGTTCAAGAACAGTACGATAGTGGAAATGACTTGGTTGATTGTGAATCGATAGACTTAGAAGCCAATGTGGCAATTGGGAAATCGCGAGATTACCTCTTAGATTCAAGTGCCAGGAGGCATGTGATTGGTGACAAAATCACCTTAGTTCATTTCAACCTACAAATTCTCATTTTCACATTTCTACCGTCAATGGAGCTCGTCTAGCTATTGTTGGCAAAGGTACATTGCGTCTTGACGCAAATAAAGAGATATAATGTATTCTTTATGTGTTTGATCTTACCAAGAACTTGCTAACCGTAGATAAATGGACCACTTCGGGGCATTTTGTGCTTTTCATCATTGTTTATTGCTGATAATCGATAATACTGATCTCAGTAAGATCTACTTATGTGGCCGATGGGTTCCGCACATCAAATTGTACAAACTACTTTTCAAGCTTCACATAGTCAACGTGAATCCACTCCGGCTAGCGCTTGAGCTACTCTCTTTGCAGAAAGAGCCATCTGATCTGCTTGCAGACTCCACCTTTATGAGTCTAGTAGAATAATACTCAAGTCAGAGCTCAAATCTTCTCATGCCACTGATTTGTGGCTCACGTATCTATGTCGTATTTGACATTAGATGAACTATCACATGACTTCTGAGCATTTCATTCACGACTTCCCTCCACTCCCCCGTTAGCAAAGATTGTCTGTGTGCTCGCGAAACTGTATAAGGCTCAAAAACCCAAACAAAGTAAGAACAAAACTACATTGCCTTTGGAACTTGTACACATTAATTTGTGTGGTCTCGTCAAATACTACTGCCTTCAAGTATGTTTTGACCTTCACTGACATTTTACTTGAATTTGAAATCTTTGACTAACCTTCCATCATTGTAAGCAATTTATCTTGCTTGCAAAAAATATTTATCCGCATAAAGTTGATGTAGTGTGGCACAGCAAGCATAATTAATCACCACAAGTCTTGTTTTACTTGGATTGACCGAGAGATTAAATAACTCTCTGAGGACTTTAGAAGCTATTGTTAACAAAAGTGTACTGCTGAGCAACAAACTAGAGTAGCAACTCCTCACCAAAATGGCATTTCCAAGCGTAAGAATCAAACTTTCTTTCAAATAGCTCATAGTGTTTTCAATGCTTATAAGTTTTCAGCTCATCTTTGAATGGACTCTTTGCAAGGAGTTAATTATGTGCTAAATTGTTGTTCAACACGTGCATTAAATCTAACTATGCCCTATGCAAAATTATATGGCACTCCAACTTACTTAACATTCAAAGTAATCGGGTATTTTACATATGTACACATTTCCTCTGATAAGCGTACAAAGCTTCAGCTCAAAGTGAAACGCTGTGTGCTAGTCGGCTACAATGATGATTCCAAAGCATATAGATTATGGGACCGTGAGCTCGTCCAATTGATACTACCAACGATGTTACATTCTTTGATATGGTTGATCTTCAAAATCTTGTGGATCTCTTCAGCGGCCTTGATGACAACGACTTACTCGATCCGACATTACAATCAGAGTAGATTGTTACTTCAGGTGACAATTTTAGTATGTATGGCAATTCTAGGATATCCGACGCACCACTACACACACTTAAGACACAACTTGGTGCCTCTCCAAGCAGTAGCTCATCGCGTGGCTCCCCTCATATTAGTCTACTTCAATATGACTCTCCACAGGTCCCATGAGAAACCCTCCACAAGCAAGTTGTTAACTATCTCAATTCCTTGAAGACAACTATCACATACAAGGGCATATTTTCATCAATATAGTTGAGACTACGAGATGAATGAACGATCAAATAACTGTTGCTCAATGATTTCAAAATCCACTTTGAAAGAAAGCAATGCAAGAGAAATTTGACTACTTCATCGTCATTCTCACCTAGAAACTCGTGACACTTCAAGAAGGTAAGCATGCTCTATCCTTGAAGTGGATCTTTAAGATCAGACCTCAATTAGACTCAATGTCTCTCAATTGAAAGTTTGGTTTGGTTGCGTATGGCCTCAAACAAAAGTTTGGCATAGATTATAACAAAACGTTTGTCGCGTTTGTTCGTTAGTCATACTTGTGTGCGCTAATCTCATTCTCAGTAGCATTTGGATGGGAATTACATCATATGGATGTAAATTACCACGTATCTTAATGGAATGTTAAAGTCTCATTTAAATGCTCTCGGTTTTAAGGTCAAAGGCGAGGAATACCTAGTCTGTCTTCTTAACCGATCAATTTATAGACTAAAGCAATCCTTGAAACAATAGTAAGAAGAAAATCACAGCCATCTCAATTCTATTAGCTCAAGTCAAAGTCAACTCGATCCCAACATGTAATTTCTCCATGAATGTAGCATCATTACGGTGATTCTATCGTAATGCTTCTATTGTATGTCAATGATTTACTACTACTCGGTAGCAGTCTTGCTAGAATTGCCAAAATCAAAATTCAATTTCATCATCGGTACAAGATGAAGATAAGTCTTGAATTCTTTTTTGTGGATTTATATCGCACAATTGAAGATAGTTTATTTCTTTATCAACAACAATATATTGCAAAAATTCTTGAGGAATGCAAAGTTGATACTACTATGACTGAATCCGTAACTCTCTCCTCTCAGTAGGTCACATCCTTGAAGTTGACATTGATATCCCACTGTCTTACTGTCAAAATGGTAGGAAAACTAATCTTTTTAGGTCATAGTAGGCCAGATCTATCCTATGCACTTAATGTGATCAGTCAATACAAGCATTCAACTCAACATCCTTAAAGCTGACATGGATATTCCACAAGTCAACGTTTTGTCTTACAGTCATATTGTAGGAAAACTAATCTTTTTAGGTCATTCTAGCCCACATCTGTCCCATGTAGTTGATGTGGTGAGTCGATACATGCATTCTCCTTAACATATCCATTGGAACTTTGTTTATCATATTCATTGGTCCATCAACTTCACTCAAGACTTTGGTATACTTTTCAAGCACCAAAATTCAACACCTCTTCACAGATTTTCAGACGTCGAACTAAACTGCCGCAACACTCGCCAATCTGTTGATTCTTATTTATTCAAGCTGGCTGATGGTTCCATCTCTTGGTCCTTGAAGCAGCAACATATCGTCTTGGAGAGTACAACAGAAGCTGAGTACAAGGCTTTGTCCAAGGCAGCTAAGTAGTGCGTTTACATGCGACGATTGATGGCAGAGCTCTAAGTCAATCCTCTAGCTTCAATTCACATTACATGTATTGCAAAATACAAGTTGATCTGAAGCACCCTAACACTTCAAACTTTTTTAATTTATATCTCTCTTGTAACAATCAAGGTGCAGTAAAACTAGCTCACAATACTATTTTTCATTTAAAGACAAAGCATATTGAGGTCAATCATCACTTATTAAGGGAACAAATTTTATAAAGGGAAATTTGAGTTGATTACGTACATACATATGACAATTGTACAAACCTTTTCACAAAGTTTCTACCCCGTCATAAGTAAAAAAGTCATATAGATTTTATTGGGTTACGTTCATTAGCGGAAGTACAAGCAAGTGCCGAAGTCTAAGATCTACTGCTTCTTGTTCTGACTCAAGATATGTCCCAAAGTATTGTATACATTTCTTCATCGAAACATATCGACACTATTCGCCACCCAGCTACTCAAGGATCTCTTGAACGACCCCACAAAAGAAGGCTATCACATCTACGACCAAGTAGATACAAACGAAGATCATTCTCGCCATCTCTCGAGTAGACATTCAAAAATGTTCTTCTCGAAAGAGGGTGTTGTTGAACGTTGTTACCGTCTCATCGATCAAACATTAACAGTATGGTTCAGGATGATACACCTAGATGTCTTTTGTCGTTTGCAATTAGTTTACTGTGTAAATCCAGTCGGTTCATTTTAGATCGAGTGCATCACTGCACTCAACATGTAAACGAAAGCAGGTACTTTTTAGTTATACATTCAATTTGTACTTTAGAATTTTATTTTTTTTCTACAACAATGAGTTGGCCAAAACTTTCAAGAGAGAAAATGCACGAGAGAAATAAAACCAGCAAAGGTCACAAGAAATATGAAAAAATGAAAGTTTAGACATGTGCACTATTTTGCTCATTCCCCACTATCCTCAAGAGTATTCTGCCCCGGCAAAGCCAAAATCAGAAACGAATTGTTATGGAATCTAAGGGCATTTATCTGCGTGGATAGAAAACGTCAGCGACGCGCGGCATATTTCAGGATCCTGCATCCTCCATGCTGCTACAAGAAGCTACACGTGGCACCCACCATAGCTTCTTCACAGCTTGTGCAAAGAGTCTGCAATGTGAGAAGGTCCAAAGAGCAAATGTTATACACGACTAAGAACAGACTCTGAAATGAGGAACATCCAGGCTGAAGATCGAACGAGATGTGGAGGAATTACTTTTCCATCATTGCTGATCAAGAGATGCTTGGATTTGAAAGACTGTGAGAGCTTTCAACTCTGGAGATTTGGGCTGTGATAGTTTGAATTCCGAGCACGCTTCCGCGCTACCAATTGTGATCTTTACGTTTGTGAACGAAATTGGAGCTGTGAGAAAGAGCGAGAGAAAATGGTCGGACCATTCACTGGTGTGCTCTTAAACCACATAGCTCGAGAAACAGAGAATGTGCTGAAAACTGCACAGTTTTACAAGGAGGTACTTCTTTCCGTGATTGTTTTGGCTATGATCGACAGACAGCCTTAGCTCATGCTCCGTACTGTGATCCGAGATCCCCTGAGATGAAGAGTGAAGCGTCGGATTGTGGTGAAGCAGTAGAGCAAATGTGCCCTTTTCAGTAGAACATTTTATGTCGTTATTTCTGCAAAATCGTATGAAATCTCTTCTTATGCAAGTGTGAGAGGGATTGGTCGAACTGACTTCGCAACTAGTCTGAACATTTGTGCTGTTTCCTGCTCAGATCTTTGGGTTTCAAAACATACAGACCCCGAAGGAGTTTGGAGACTCCGTTGTTTGGTTGAGCCTGCCTCCTTCTCACTCACTCCATATTATCAAACGAAACCCCGAGTCAAGATTACCGGAAAGTCCTTTTACAGCGACAGATGATGCCCGGTATGATTCTCATCTGCCTCAAGAGCTAAAACCAGGATGGCCCAGAAGCCACTTCGTCAACTTCGTTTGAATGTTCATGCAAATCGAAGCCACAGGTGCTGCGCTTTCAGCAGAGCATCAGTTTCACGATTATCTGTCTCGGGTTTTCCTGTTTTTAACGCGAATCGCTATGGTCTGTTAACCATCCATTGAGTTCTGGCAGCCCATAGTTCTGCCCTAGGCTAATATGATATGAAGTCATCACTTGTATTGAAGCTGTCATGAGATTCAAACACAGATGATTTTTGCTCTGGATGGATATCTCATCTGAATACGACAACACTTCCTTTTCAAGGATCAACATAACATTCTCTTTCCAGCAGTTGAATATGTGTCAGTCCTTCAGATGAGACAGGTCTCTGACACGGTTTCCATATGCTCTCTTTGTGAATAGGCGCGACGAAAGAGCCCTTCCAATGGCTCACCATCTCTCCTTCCGCGTTTCGGACTATGACGCTGCTATTGAGCTCTTGAAAGTAAGCGCTGTCTTTTAACCGCTTTTGCACTTGTCTCCTCTGCACTTCCGTCGAGACAGTACGCACTCGGCCACCAAATCCCTGACGGTTTTACACCAACTTGATGATGATTTCAGGAGAAGTCCATTCCTTACTACGAGAAGACGCAACAAGAGGGCCGAATCAAGCAAGCTTTCTTCTTCGATCCAGACGGTACGTTCTCTGTCCCGTGGTTCGCTCAGTACCCGTTTAACTTGTGTAATAAAATATTCCACTATCTCCACTTGCGTACGTCACTGTATATTATAGTGAAGTCCAGCAGGAGGTAAGAAACTGTGGGGTAATGGCGGTGGGATGTAGGGGACAAGGATACTTTCTTCAAGGAAATTTTCTATCTCCGCTTCTAGAAGGATTTGTCTGTTCTGTGATGCAGGAAACGGTCTGGAGATAGGAAATTGGCCCATCGAACAATAATTGCACAATGTCATGCTGTCAGCCGTTCAAGTACTTCATCTTGATGCTCACTTCAAGTATACAGAGTATTTATTACTTTACATGAGAATCTGGAAATAGTAATCAGTGTGTTATAATTTGAAGCCGTGGTGATAAAGGCGCATCCTCTCGTGACCCACGACGATTAGAAACCTTGAGTCGGATAAAACACCCTGATTCACCCTCTATGTCACATCCTTGTAATTATAAACATCTCAATTGTCCAAATGCTCACAAGCGGAACTGATGAAGCTTCCCTTCATGAGCAATGAAGGCTCTCTAGTTTCATACCTTCTGCATAAATCGCTCGTCCTGATTATAATTGCAATACGTTGATAAAAAATGGGATGATGAATATGTTTTGCCTTGTATGGAATGAATGATTAATGTATTCATATGCTGGAGTCTACTGTAAGCAGCTGACTGGATGAATGAATTCACGGACGAGAGACTGTCAGAACGTGACGAAGAAGTGCTATAGCGTAGATAAAATCTCTTGTGCTTTGAATACCATCCATGCTTTTAGCGCAGCCAACGGAAAGAAGAGAGACTGTTAGAACATGCGGGACAATTAGCATAGCGCAAATAAAATCTCTCGTGCTTTGAATCCTACGCAGCCTTCCAGCTCAGTAGATGAAAGCAAGAGACTGTCAGAACTTTACGGACACGTTCATCGCTCATATGGTATTTGCTTTGCTTTGAGAATTGAGGCTACTTGAAATCTAATGAAGCTCGTGGCTAACCTTATCCTCTGCTTTTAGATGGAAAGCACCCTGCTTTCACATGCTTACTGCTGCTGAAAATGCTTGACAAAGGAGTGCCGATGATCAGGAAGTGCAAATAGGGGACATGCATCAAATCTGCAATGGAAATGAAATTGCCCGCCAGACTTTTGGATAGCCAAGACGCCTAGACATCCAGAACCGCCTCTAGCTTTTCCACGTTGGTTGCAACAAGCCTTTCATCGGGCTCTGTCTTCATTAGCATCTTGTGGAATATAAGCTGCGCGAGAAAAGTTTGACAGGGTCCATTGAGTACAGCATAAACTCCGCCTCTATTCATTCATCCACCAACGCGTTTACCTTCAACGTTGTCCGAAGAAGAGGTGACCTTGGCAGCCACATACCTTGCAATGGCTCGAGAATCCGTACACCGTGTTGGTTGGTATTAGTTTGTTACAGCATCGCTGCTTACTGCAATCTCTCGCGTAACAAGGAAAGGTTAAATTCCTCAATAAGCACCAGGAATTTCTATGAACGACTTTCTGATGGAACACCGTATGAATCTAACGTATGCGCATAAATCCTCACAGTCATGGTTTACAAATGGAAAACAGCAATATAAAATGGTTGCCTCGTTCTTTGATCAGTGCTAAGTTCAACATTTTTTGATAAATAGCCAAGACAATGTTTTCAGTTGTGAAGTTTTAGTTTTTTCCCTCTTTCGGGATTGCACTCGAACGTTTGACGATCTAAGACATTCAGCATGCGCTACTAAATGTTTGTGATGACGAGCTTGTTTGAGTCCACCGATGGTCAATTGTGCTGGATCCGAACGGACTCGGACTGTGCATAAGGACCAGAGAGACCAACATATACGTTGTGCAAGGTGTACTCAGCAAACTGAAATCTTTACTAGAATGGAGGAGATTTTTGACGGTTGTGGTCTCATATGCTCATGTTGTGACAGGAAGCAACCTCATCCGAGCAGCAGAGAACGATTGTGACTGTCTAACGGATCAGTCAGTAATTGTCAGTGCCACCAATTCCGTAAGTAGCATGACATGAACAAAATAGCATTCATTCACAATTTTTACTGTGTTCAAAAACCCAATGCAAGTTATGAATGATATGATTAAAATTTAGTAGTAAAATATCAAGAGATTTTAATTAGGCACCTTTTCCACACAAAAAACCCAACTAATTATATCATGAAATCAATGGAAGTACGTTGCTAATGAAGAATTTTTCCACAATCTAAGTAGTACTACAACGTTTCTAAAAAATTTATAGTTTTATTAAGGGTAGCGGCTAGTTATCACTCACTTAGAGCTACATAGCCCTTATCTTACCCAGACAGGCTATAGCTTTCATGAGGTGAGTAGCAACTTGGTGGGTCTTCCTTCTTCCCCCCTCCGCGTCAAAGATGATTTTGTGGCAGACGTCAAATCCAGGCATGCCACCTCCGCGCAATGCTTGGCGCTATTCAGCGTTCAATCTTCGTTAAAAGTTGTCTCCTGAACCTTCGTGCACAATGAAATTATCATGCGAAACGAATGAACCGACTGATAAATAAAGAACATTCTTGGACGTTGAGTCTAATTTGCGGATGCGACAGAAACTCTTATTGTACTTCAAAGTTTCATTCTATTCGCACATAACGTAACCTGAGCATCGACGTACAACAATGCGTAGAACTGTGTCGAGTGGATTTTGTTCCCCGATAAAACATTCCATTTTACTCAAAATGATGAAATCTAAACTTGAACCCAATTTTCCCATCATGTTGAATTTACTTTGAAGACTTCGTGCAAATGACATGCACAGGGTATGAAGTCCAAGAGCATTCGTGAAGCTTGGATCAAACTGTGCGGGTGGCTTGAGTGCCCTCTTATGGCAAACTTGGTGATGTGAGGTGCTCATGAACATGTTTAAGACAAAAAACCTTGCAGAACATGAACATGGTAACTTTCATTTGTACTTCTTTGGCTTTGACGTGGCGTATGTCATAGAGTCATCTTTGACACAGAAGGAAAAGAAGAAAAAACCGCCAGACCAAGACAAGTTAGTTAAGTTGGCAAGACTAGTTAGAGAATAGCGAATAGAGAACTAATTAACCGAGAAAATGAGTGATAACTAGCCGCAAATGAGATGAACGTTTTGAACCTGAATCAAATATTAATGAGATTTCTTTTCCTGAAAAAACCATGGGGGTATGAATGCAAAAGAAGAGAGTGGACGTTCCATCGCCCCATCAAGGACTGCTCACCGGACCGTTCCCCGCTACACTGCACATCTCTCGCGCTACGTCAAAGCAGGTGAGCCCATCGCAATGGACCAGGCCCGTTCCAGTCGCGCCGCGACTGGATTGCAGGGCGGGCGGCGACCACGATCTTTGACGCCAGACAGAATTTACTGTCGGGAAGAAGCCCCCGGTGCGCGGACCCTACTACGTAAGAGTCATGGCGGGCAGAAGGGAAATATTAGTGTCGGTCCTGTGGGGCAGACCTCCCTGCACTTAGGAGCTTGCCCGAAGCTGTGAAGGCGCCGGACTTCAGGACATCCACACGTGCGACAGTCAATTTCTTATTATATTCGACAAACTTTTGTTTATTCAATGCTTATGGTATCATTCTTGATACAAAACGCCACGTGGCATGCTCTGCTATGTTTAAATCAATAGTTGCACGTGTAAATTCCTTCCATTCTTTGGTGTGCATGCTCACAACACCAGTCTAGTATAGGATGAGACTTTAATGCTCCCTGGACCCTTTTAGCGAGCATTATGATATGCATATATAATTGACATTGTATTGACTTCTTAGTTATACCTGGTGTATGTTTGCACTTGGATCTTGCTTTACGTGGTACAAAATGCAAGCATTGGTGAAAGATTAGATGTTTGGTATTTTTATTTTAAAAATACCAGACATCACAAGTAATTTTTCCTCGGAAATAGATCATATAATGAGATCCAAAATTTAACATCAAAAAAAGGCTTGTAAATTTTTTTAATTATTATAACAAGATTAATTAAATATATATAAATTTTAATTTCAATTACTAATTTGTATAAGAGAATTTGGTTTAGAGAATAATATTGTCATCGTTCTTCTAACCTGACTTATTTTATTCAAGTTAATCTAACTTAGCGAAGACCTGGGTTGACTTTAAACCCATTAATTTATCAACTAAAATTCCAATGATTTTGAGTAAAGAAGAATTAGAAAATGAGGCTTCATATGAACAAATAATGGCTCTCATAACGGAAGTATGTGAACTTTAAAATGTCAGACAAACTATACTGATAGCACTGCTAGTCCACTTTTTATGATTTTGAGTAATTTTTTCCGTGATCATTTCACGAGAGCAGAATATAAGAAGACATGTATATAGATCAAGCTATATCTCTCAATAATCCCAGCTAATTTCAGCTTGGTGCTAATAGACCCGAATTTGCACGGAACTTAGCTGTTTGAAGCTAAATCCATTTTGTAATCAACTTCGCAGCTCATACATGTAATATTGTTCGTACTACACCGAGTGTGATGATCGTTTATCACGAGATCCATGGGATGACTGCTGGTTTGAATCATAGTGGCATCACTACAGTACTTAGGCTTCTTTCTTGACCAATTTGTAAACTCCATTCGCATAATACGGACTTACGTTTTCCTTCTTCCATTCATCTTGCTGTAGAATATGAGGACATACGAACATACCAGTTGATATCGTCAATGCCAGCTGTCAAACTCGTCTCTGAATTTCGTCGTAATTGTGCTCTCGGTGTTCGTTTACGAGCAGGCTTCATTTCACAACTTTCTTGAAAGACTGCTGTTTTCGTTATGTGTATTCCCGAAGGGCGGTATTTTTGGGATACGGTACACCAGGTATCACATCGTCTTTGGGATCGGTCACAATGGTCCACTGACTATTTGATTTGGCTTCTCTGGTAGTATGGACCAAGTGAGTGAACAAATGTGGGACTACTCTACGTCACTCATTCCACTCTCTGTCATATATGTTTGGCTTCAACAGTGTTTCAAGTGTCCAAGATTAAATTCTCATGTTGGAAAACGGAGACTGGTAGGTGTCAGTAAAACACCTCGTTTGTCAGGATTGTACGAGTCTCCTGTGTCAGGGACGATGGATAGTACTCTATGGAGACTCGAGATCTTGTGTTTCATCGGCATTGATGCTTACAAGGTGCTGTTAGCAAACCTGATTCCTCGTCAGCGTGGGTAAAAGCCTACGGCCATTTGGTTGGCTCCAATGGGCTCCGACTTCTTAATCAACCCAATCCATAGGGAGGTGACTGAAAACAGTAAGATGTGGATAAAGTATGTAAATATATGACGATAGTGTTGTGGACTGAGAACAATCTTCCGATGGTGCCTTAGAAATTCCATTGGTCGGAGGCCTCCCTGCACTTAAGTGGCGGCTTGTCTTGATCATTAGCAAGCGACAAAAATCTGCACGGTCACAAAAAGGCCTCACGAAGTCTCCCACGAAATCGAAAACATCTCAAAGACAATTCCATGATTGTTCTCTCCAAAGAATGTGACGGTGTCATTGGGTACGGCTATCTGCTGAGACAAACATGCAATCAAGTGGTGCAAGTCAAAGAAGGAACACTCGGCTTCCATCTCGAACATCAACGTCATGAGGGAAGACGGTAACTATCTCTTCATTCAGAAGTAATTACGCAATGCTGCCCAAGAGGGTGAAGAATGAGGACCCGTTCATCCCTGCCTGGAAATTTCCACACTCTTCCAAATTAAAAACTAAACCGCGGTTAAATTGGGGAGAGAGGCCCTTGAGCGCTGATCTGGACGAATCAATTAGAGCTAAAGCTTCTGCGCAATATCTGAGAGAAGTTGTCAATCAAACTTCGCAAATCGAAGATACCCTGCACTCAGTTGCCCTTCAACTTCCGTGATGGAGGCCTTCTGAAAGCTCCCACCAAATCATCAAAACCCTGTACAGACATAACATCCAGCCACGACGTACATATATATTAGAACGGTCCCTAATTTATTCTAAGGATTTCCAGTAGTGGAACGACAAAACAACAGAAACAACTCACTTCTCAAGCGAAATCTCCCAGTTTTCAAGGAAGAAGGACATGATTCCAGCCTCACCTTGGTAGTAATTACAAGAACTAGGAACAAAATTCCCAGATACGAACCAACAGCGAGCATGATGAACAAATCAAAGGTTACACTTGCAACCTGCAAAAGCCACGCAGAACTCATGAAGGCATTCTTTATTCATCGATATGCGTGGCGACAGATTTCAAGGAAAAAGGATGCATGGGTTATCACAGCTACGAGATGCGAACTAAACGAACATTTGACTAGAACCTCAATATGCCTAACATCTGTGAGTTCAAGGAACTTAGATGAAACCTCTTTCGAGGTAATAGATACTCCATCCGTCTCATCCTCGAGAGCAAAAGTAGAAGCACAACGGCAACTTTAATACGTAAATTGGGTTCAGAAAACGCAATGCAAAACCAAATCTGTACGAGAGTTATATTCACCTGATAAATACTTAATTGAGCCTTGATTGTATCGTAGAACAAAAAGGTACCGTCCAGATTATCATGTTGGAGACTCACGTCCTTTGTGTGAACAGCCAACTCCTAAAAACCAACATCAAAATAGAATGTTAACATCAATTGATCATCCAATATCCCACCAGAAAATTCGATCACAATTGAAAAAGTTGGAAGACGCCAAGTGGTTTCTATGGAGCGCCTACAAAGACCACATGGAGCAACAATAACCTCAATAGTATGCCAGTGCCTGAGAAGAGGAGAGGGGCGAGGAGGAAGGCACTATTTGGGATGGCACATGTACTTGGAGTTGAGACCCACCTTTCAGAGGTGCAAAGGTCTCTAGAGTAACCTTCCTCGTCTGAATAATACGTCTTTAAACTATTGAAGGTCTTGACCGAGTGCAAGGCATGCGACCCTAGTATCTATGCTCTTGTACCTATTAACCAGCTCTCTTTCAAAAGCTTAGTAATGCATGATTAGTGTGGGTGTCCAATGTGTTGGATGACACCGATGGCATCTGTTTGAGATCTCATTCTACACTAGGACATATCCAGTTACTGATTAAAAACCTCCTACATATAATCCAGAAATCTGAAACAAAAATTTGGAGCAAAATGTATGGCCTCACATTTGACAACAAGAACTCGAAGTACGGTATCAAGTCGTAAGAGCTCAAAGTAACAGCCAAAAGGCGAGCTCTCGGGGAAAAATCGTATCATACCTTTTGTATCGCAGCAATGATAGGAGCATTTTTCCCAAGAAAAGGGGCAACTCGTGGAGTCCGGGAAAGCAAATCCAGCCAAAGTTTCACATATGGAGGGCTGACAGCAAGGCTACTACCATCAGCAAAAACCTCGATATTCTTCCCTTCAAGACCATAAATATGTTTCTGAAATACCACGAACAGAAACGAATGGCTCAGATTGTGTCTGGGTCAAGGGACTCTTGACAAGGTGAATAAAACCTGCAATATATTAACTCGAGTGGAGACCAAAACTTAAATGCAATCTCAAAGCGAGGGAGACTTACGGCAAGACTTTCAGCAACGATCTTGATGTTGCGAGCGACGACAGTGTCATTGGCAGAGTACCTGAGAAAAGCAAAAACCAACAATTGATACGTGCGACGTGATAGGACAATTAATCATACTTCCTCATACAACTTGAGACAACAAATTTTGAGGAAAATCACGATCCTAAAAGTGTCGGCCATATTGATCTAGGTTCACTCTTATTTGTAAACGTCTTGGAAGTCTGAAAAAAGGTCAAAATTCGTTTACAATAGACTCTCCATTGCATTGGGTAACCAAAGATGCAATCCAAACTGTGCAAATTTTCCAACTGCGAAAATAAAGATTCCAGATATTATCTTGACCAGGAGTGCGTGTATCTCAGTCAGGCAAATTCACAACAGGTAATCGAGAATTTGAACACTAAATTTACCTCCGATCAGCGATGCCTCCAACTCGATCAAGAAAACTAGGTGCCGTTTCCAATCCTGAAAGTGTTGCTGCAGTAATTCTATGCCTTGAAAATTGCTCATGTTCCCACGCTACCTGTAGACAACCGGGATAATAAATAAGTTTGATACCGAAAGTATACTATCGTTAGTATACTACCATTTAAAGCGCAGCAATGTGATCTTCCCAATCTCAACCGCCGATAAGGTCACGTCATATTGCTTCAGATGAGGCATATTTCCGTTGTCGCCGTTTGCACAAGTGAACGATATATTAAAGATGAATCAGTACAAGTATTTACCCGTGAGTTCGAAATGTTGATCTTCTTATGCTTGATCTCAACTGTAACACCAACGTCCCTAGCCACATCTGCAATATTCTGCAGTCAAAGGTGGCCATAAGCAACGCAGGCATATGTACTGTTTAGCTGGGACCAATGTTGTCAGAAAAAGCAGTTCAGTAAACTGCAGGCCAGAGCTCCAACAGACTCCAGCGACAACTAGACTAACTAAGCATAGCCATCACTTTATACATTATTATTCAAGACGACATGCAAAAAGAGGGATGAACTGAACTTTCTAAAGTACCAATAGGGAGTTTCAAGAGCTGGACCGTACGTCATATATTTGCTTGATGAAAGGGTTTTCTGGAGGCTTAGATACATGCATCCGCAAGTTGTCCGCATCCCCGATACTGTTCAGGCACAAGGCGTAGTCTATGTTCTCTCGAACTCTTTGATCAAAGCCACGCAACCACTGTTTGACAACCAGAACGACGAAACTAATCATTAAAAACACTCCAAACAGGAGACGTGTATGCATCAGGAGCAGAAAGGCCTCATCTGCAGAAGTATAATCGCTTCGTGAAGACTAAAACGATTCACGGACAGACAACTGGTAGATCTCTTGCTGGAAGTCAATGCATAATTTCCAGAACTGTTCCTTTAAGTGTTCCGGAGAAACCAAACATGGCAGGAAAGAAAATGTACCCTGGCTGTGCCATTATAGTTAAAAGGTCCGCCAGAGGTCAATCCGAAAAGCAGATTGTAAGGAGCTCTTGTCTTGGAATTGGCATACAAACGGGAGAACAATCTCGCTAACTCCAGTAAAGCAACCACGCCACTGCCGTTGCTGTCACTTCCCACAGCTAAGGCCTGCTCCGATCAAAGAAAACAGATTAGTCAAATTTAAAAACAGGATAAAAATACTGCTACAAGGTATAACTAACTTTAGCGAGGATCAAAATGCTATCCAGAAGATTGCCAAAGGAATGCAATACTCGGACGGACCTGACACAACAATATATCAAAGCCAATCAGATAAAATACTTACAGGCGCAGCTCCGAAGGTGTCGTACGAAGCTACGATGGCAATGGTGGGTAAACCTGCAATGTCTCCATCGCCTTTCAAACCCCACAGCCATCCCTGTAGATACCAGCTTCAGTCTAAGATACAAGTCAAAGGAGATGTTCATAAAGAAAAATGCTTTAAAAAAAAATCCTTACAAAATCCACAACTGTTCCAATATACCGTACTCAGTTTACATCTGAACCTTGTCCGCTCGGTGTTCATATCATCGTACCTGAATATTTGTGTAAGACGCAGAGGGCACCTTCTTTGCATCTGATACTGGCACGACCAGTTTGTATCTGGTAGAGCAAAGGCAAAATTAATTATCCTGAGAACAAACAAACATCTGCAACATAACGGAAAGAAATTGGACCCAACGAACCGCAAGGAAGACAAGGTAATGAGAGTCATAGGCATCAGATTCAAACAGCTTGATAACCAAATCTTCAACACAAAATATTCGATAAAGAAAGACCGATAAGTAATAAACAGATGATACTGGCAAGCACATGCTTGTCACTTATGAGGATTGACTCACCCTCCAGTAGAAGCAGTTGCAGGCCTTCCAGCAGCATCATTAAGTTGAACATCCTTCAATACACTGTCAATCCTTTCATCTGAGTACGCAAAGTACACAGGGTACTGCATTGCCGAAAAGATAATGCTTAGCAATCGTAGTGTTAAAAAAATAATTCCGACGTTCGTCACGACAGAAGTACGAAATCCATGACAATAACCTATTCTCCAATATCGACTGTATTACCATGAATAGCAAACTGTAAACAATTGGCGATACACCCTTGAGTGGCTATGTCTTCGTGACAGTCTGGTGGCATCAAACAATACCAACAAATACAAAAATCCCAACGACATACTCTCCATTCATAGTGTTTGAGTAGCTCTACTGATGCTGAGCAACCTAGTCAAGAATCGCGACGGGGCACCTTACTGAGGTTTGATTTTACACACCGGTATATTGTTGTGAATGAGCCACTGCTCAAGAGCTGCAACATCTGCAGGTTGATCTCCATCTGAATCCTCACTGTCAGATTCGCCAGATGATTTACCCCCGTTCTCAAAGTTGCGTGGTAGAATCAAAAGCAAACCACCCAGCATTTTCCGACTCTGGAGATATTCTGCAAAGAGCGTCCTAAAAGTCAACAACATCCTCTACAACGAAGGTTGCTACAGAGATCTATCGTTGCGGCTCACTATGCTTATTTTGAAGCAATGCAGCTGACAACTCCAAGAGATTTACATACACAATGAGGACAGGCATGTGATACTTGCGTATGATGACGCTAAAATGTTCAGCCCAGCCTCATATCGACCCAGTGGACAGAAATTTGAAGCTTCGATATTGAAGGGAAGCGAAAAGTAGAAGAACAAAAATCTCTCCTAGCAAAAGCGAGAGCTTTTTCTCACCATTCAGAAGAGTAACGTTCACTTTGTCAATCGGAAGGATCACTATTGTGCGTGAAAGATCCGATCCCGGCACCGACAATCCAGAGCTTGCATGATGGTTGACAACTGCTCGGCGTGAACCGAATGGTGTGCCTTGAAAATCATACTGTATCATGCGATAAACATCTACTACGGCAGCTGCATCACATATCTCGATGTACGCCGCAACAACGCACAGTAGAGCGACCACAGCCTGCATTGATACCACCACCATCCTGTCGGAACCCTTCTTCGCCATCATTCTCCTCATGTTTACAACCTGCTCCTCCTTCCGCCAAAACTTCCTACCAATTCACACTAAAACCCTAAAAGGCAGACTGCCATCTCATCCTCTGCAGATCCTCCACCCCCGAGTTTTGGCCAATTCAAAAATGTGCCAAAATTTTCCACCAGGAACCAAGTCTGCTCCAGATTCCCGAAATATGTGTACCCCTGGACCAACTGCACAGATCCTGCTATCAGCTCAAGGCCGAGCCGAGCGAACTACCTAAATCCGATTAAACAAAAAAGCCGGTATTTCCACAACTCACTCACTTCTCATCCGGTCCTGGGGGCTCAAGACCACAACGGAGGATGAGAAACGATCGACCCACGAAGTGCCGATCGAACGAGTGCGGAACCGCTGCTACGGCGCTGATCAAACACCAGCGCGAGCGCTGCCAAAATTTGCAACCAGACGCAAGCCTCAACGCGGCACTATAACTCTAGATTCTAGCAAAATGCGGTCCGCTCCAGCTCAGAGCTGCGGCTTTCGGAGTCTCCGAACCCTGCGTCTGCTGCACATGAAGCGCCGGCAGCAGTCAGACGGAATCGCATGTCTGATCGAAGTGTATCGTCGTGCCGCGCTCTGCCAAAATTGCTCGGCGCAAACTCGCATCTTCCTCTACTCCGTTGCCTCTGCTTCATGGCCGCTGGCTGGGCTGTGCAGCCAGTGTTGCGTCGACACCTGAACCACTGTGGCTGTTCCGGTTGACGTGTCCCTCGGATGCACATTTTGTAGGGCTTAGATCTGTCACATTTCGGCCCCACTTCCACCTCGCTCTCACTCCGTTGCTCGACGTGCACTCACTTACGGTCCGTCGTAGTTCCTCTCGTCCACCTATTGTAACTGATTTGGAACCCAATTGATCGACTCATATTTGCAGCACCTATTTCGCCTCTTTAGTATTGTGAGTTCCAATGCAAATTACATCACTCTTACTAGATCTACTTTATCACAAAAAACAACAAAAACTCCATGATTGTTGTCATTTCTCTGAAGTCGAGAAAAAGTGATTTAAATTTGAAGTTGTGATATATTCTCTAGCTTTCCATCTTAAGCTGAATTCAAATAAATAGTCGTTCCATAATGCAAACGATGGTATTTCCATTTCGACTATATTCCTCCTCCATAAATTTATCGTAAATTCAAATATATTATTAACTGAAAAAAAGTCATTACTGGTATTTAAAAACTTTACAGTCAGTGCTCTCACTCAGAGTTTTGAAAACAAAAAACTACTAGAATTTTTGATTTATTTAACAATGATTATTGGAAGAAGATTTTGATTATGGAAGTCTTATATTTTACTCAATCTTGTGATATATGGAGAAGGGTGTAAGTGAATATTTTTTGAAGGTAATATTTTTTAGAAATTAAATATAAAATTTCATATATAGTACAAAAATCTTTCGATGCCCTTCAATTTTCTTTTGAAAATGCATTTCAAAAGAAATAAATTAAATGATGCATTGATGTCTTGTACATATTGGTTCATAAAGGATAACCAACTATCTGCTCCAACACTGGCATAAAGTTGGAGTATTTTTTGATCTTATATTATTAACTTCTTTAAAAAGAATTTATGATGCATCATATAGCTTTAATTTTTTATTTTTAAATAAAATATGAAGGTTTCACTTTTCTTAAACTTCTTCTTATAGTTAGGTTTTGAAATTTTAATGTTATTAATTGTAGTTTTCAAGTTTAATTGAGTCAGAAACAATTTGAATCTTGAGGCTTCAGACCTTGATTTTCTTTTGTCTATCATACAAAACAAATTTCTAATTCAAGAATTCTCAAAATTTTAATATTTATTAACAAAATTAACCTATTTTTTCATCTTTAATATAAATTTTGTCTGGAAGTTTAATCTTATAAACAAAGATATTTGAGAATAATAATATTTTTATTTTTATTTTCAGTAATGGAAGAAAACACATCAAATTATCTTACTTGTGTGATCTCATCAATTTTAATAATTTATATTTTTTGATAAATATTTAGATTTAATTATTCAGAAATTATAATTTATTTGAGTATACAATATTTCTTATTTTATTCCTGCTTTAAATTATTTCAATATTGAATTTTTAGCACTATCCAACTTGAATAAAATAATCAAAATGTACTAAACCATCGACACAATTAAATAATCAATTAAAGCATTTTTCTTCACACTTATTAAGATGTATACATCATATTATTAGAAAAACACATCAAATAAAGAGAAAATGCATATTTACGAATGTGTAGCATTTCGTATAATCATTATTTAGTTCTTAGATTTGTAAGCACAGTACCAATATCAACATGCATATAGCAAAATAGTAAAACACATATTTTGATCGTTGAAGTAACCTGTTGTTGCAAACTCTTCACGCTAGCTTGCTCTTGCATATGTTACAAACAACTAACGAATATATTTTTTAGATTTCTATGAAAAAGTATCTCTTTGTTGCATAAAAATTGTTATTTTTTGGAGTCCATTCAAGAATTCCTTTATTTTGATTTGATTCATGATGTTAATGGGATATTTTATTATTAGAGGAAAAATATTGATGTGACTAAAATTGAATTTATAATTGAGGTTCCACTTTCACTTTCTCTCTCTCTATATATATATATAGAGAGAGTTTTGTAAACTCATGAAATTTGAGTTTCCTTTACAATGCGTAACAACTTCATCCAAATCATTGTATAAATACAAAGTAGGAAATAATTCGAGGTCACTGTTTACTTCGTGAACAAATATAACCATATATTTCATGGTTATATTTGTTTTATGTACAAATGTCATTATTATTTTAGTTTTAAAACATAAAATATCTTCAATATCTCTTCTGCAATCGAGATTACAGTATAGTTTTTCTATCCAACTATTTTTGGAATCGATTTTTACTCAAGTTGTGATTTTTGAAAATGAAAGTGATATGTAAATAACCTAAAAATATCTACCAGTAAATCATTTTCTACATTTATGACCCTCAATCATGTTAATGTGGAGGTGTTTTACCTGACATTTGAATGTTTAAACATCTACATTAAATTGGCTACGTAAGTAATATGACGAAAATCATGGCCAAAAAATGTGCGCAGAAACTGACAATTCAATCAACACGCCACTTGCAAATAAAAGTTGTAGATTTACGGTCATAAAAAATGTTCGAATGAACAAAGGTTCACAAATGCTTCGAGAAATCAAACTATATTCATTTCCAGCTGAATGATACGTTGTACTAATGTACAGTACACTGCATCATGATACCGTGGTGAGACAAGGGCTCATGACGACGGTATATCGTATGAGAGGAATGTACAGTTGGAAATTAAGGCTGGCTATTTAACGCATTGTGGCTCAATATTCCGATCACAATGCTTCGCGCCTTCCTCCGGGCAGAAGCCGGAAATAGAACCCGAAAGCGAGGGCCGGTGGAAGAATTTGTTTCCCGACGATGGAGCGGCCGGGGTTCTCAACTGTGCGGGCCGCGAGCATGAGACGAGCGGGCCGCTCGTCTTATGCTCGCGTACCGCGTTGAGCATCGGAGAGGCCGCGTGTCCAGAAGGCGAGGCGCGCCACCGAGAAACATGTCGTCGTGGGTCAAGGACCGCGGTCTACAGTCCGCTCTTCGATCGCGGCCGTCCAAACCCGTCGACAGCGAGACATCGGACGGTCTGCGCCGCGCATTGCATCTCGTTGACTAATGGCCCGCTGTCGTTGTCGGGTCAGTCGTGTCGGGATCGCTCGCCCTCAGAAAAGACGCCTCATTGGCTGCAGATCGTAGCTGCGTATTCATAGAAGCCTCGGAAAACATCGACAGTGCCCATCAAGTGGTACATGCTGGACGAATCCAATATATATTCACCACGTAACCATGTGAGGCCCAAATAATACATAAATGAATAAATTGCGAAAAAAACTTGACGGCTTGCTGGGGTAGAAATCATCAAGCGTTACACGGTGAAAGTATTATAGGTCTCAGGGGCCTGCTCTAATGGTACGATAATGGTAAATGGTAATAGACCAAGCCCGGGGGAGAATGGTGTGGTACTGGTACAAGATTGGTAAATATACACCCATCAAGCGTTACGAGATGAAAGAATGCTGCCTGTAGGGGCTAGCTCTGGTGGTATGAGAATGGTGAATATACACTACATCAGCTAATGTATTCGAAACTATCAAGTATGAACCTTCTATATACATCGCCATTTATTTATAGATAGAGCCAATAATCTAAACAGAGTAATCTACTCATGTTGACTAGATTAGATTACACATTACCTGGATAATGAATCACAAAACGAAATATGATATCGTGCAGTCTAAGATACTAAGACAATATCAAAAACTCTCCTACAAACAAAGTAGAACGCATGAGAGAAATCACACGTTGTGTGATTTCTCTCATGCGTATCCAACCTCTTAGTGACATGAGACATGTGAGCAGCAATGTATTAAAATAACTTTAGGCTATAGGAGAGAGCCAAGACAATTCTACCTCATGCCCCTATTATTTCAAAAGTTTCACGCACATGTTAAAATAAGTGTTCATGATAACTACAAAGATAAACAAAATCATAGTTAAACTCTTTCTATATTCATATACCCGGAATAATTCACACTCTTTTTTCAGTAGTTTAAGAAATTATGGCAAGTGTATGCAACGTCGATATATTATATCGCTCCGAGTATTAGTCTGACGTAACTCGAGTGCTACAAGGCATACACACCGCAGGGCAGCTCTCCAAGGCAGTATTGGGGACTCTATTGATTCCTTAGATTCCGTAGGTATACCCGGAACAATCGACCGCGGAAACTATGTATACAATGTGTAGCAAAGATGGGAACACCATACATGGATGTAGTATGGGGCAAGCTCCAATAATCTTACAAAGGAGAATAAAATATTGATGCAGTTTACATATCCAAACCATATCTAGATGAAAAAAACACAAACCCAAGAATCCTTGCAATTGCCAAATCATACTTCGCATAGCCTTTTTCTCTCTACCTGCATCTAGTTGCAAGTAAAGCTGTCCAATTGCATAATTGCAACATTGATGGATGGAAGGTTATGCTACACAAGATTTTCCAAAAATGGTAGCAGTCAATCACGTAGATATAAGGACCATAACAACGGATGAGCAAAATATTGTACATAAAAGAGTTGGCTTTGTACGTATTTACATATTTTCAAATTAAATTTTCAGTTCGAACTTATCACTCTCTTGAGCTTATTCATGTAATGTAATAATATAGAGCGGCTAGTTGTACTCACCCTAGTCTAATGTGCACTACTTCTCCCACTTTCTCAGTGCCGCGAGAGGTATCCCTCATGATGAATAAGGTGACCAATCATATAGCTCTGTTCAGCAGGGTGAGGGATAATTAACCCAAACTGAGTTATAACTAGCACTTCCCATTGTATAAAGAGAGCTGTGCTGAAATAACCAAAACTAGAGCTATTACATAATATGTACGTAGTTTGTAGAGAGTATTTGTCGATGGTGTATTACGAATGTCCCATCGTGATGCCAATGGGGCTGAGCCCATGTTTCATCCTCGTACGACTTCATGGGTCATGCGGACTGTTCGGTATGTGCCAACGTACGTGACGAAGCGAGACGGATGAAAAAGCGCGATGGAGATTTGCGGGCTAGGCGACAAAAGGAGGCCCACGCGACACCGGACCTCAAGGTTCAAGCGCATTAATGAAAAAAAAAGGAGAGCAGTGATTGGAAGGCGATGTTGCTGGCCGGGGCTGCTAGAAGACTACTCGCAGTGTTCGAACTCGGACATTCAAGACAGAGCTTCAACAGCTTGACCGCAAGCTCGTTGAACGCTCCGGCCCGTTCTCGACTGCACGCATCATCGCTTGCGGGCGTCAATGTGAGTGCCACCTCCTCGTTCGCTGCGATCGCTCTCGTCCGTGCTGTGATCCTCCGCGTTTTCTGCTAATTTCGAGGATTTTGGGTCAGTCGACTTGGAGCTGATCTGATTGAGAGATTGAGAGATTGAGAGATTGAGCGAGGGGAGAGGAGGGGAGGGGCGGGAATGAGAGCAGGTGATGGGCCGTTGTTCGTTTCTTCTTTACATTCGTGTTGGGAGCTTGGAAGGGCCGTCTGATGAGGCCTTCGTTGATTGGCTTTGCGGGGAGAGGGTCGACCTCGGTTCGAGAGAGTTGTTGAGGAGTTTAAGATTCTAGCGGGGAAGATATTCGGAGATTGGTAGCAGTAACTGTCTGTCGACGATGCGTAAAGAGGCGTGTCTGCTTTGGGGCGATTCTATGAGGTCGTAATAGCGGTCATGTGCTAATCTCCTGACATCCGTCCAGTCCGCAAACGATCATAATGTCCAAGAATTTCGGTACTGTAATGGAAATCAAGCAACGAACAGTTCAAACTTAAATCGTTCACAATTAGCGGCATCCGGCGCACGCATTGGCTTCCCGAAGGAGGGGCGTGAAGTATAACTCCTGGGACATTGTAGAACCCTGCCGGCGTAAACTTCATAGTCTGTCCTCGAGCCAAAAGCACCGTGTGAACTTTTTCGCCAATAATTGAGACAAGCTTGACTGTGATGGTGTACTGATACGCGATCGGCCTTTGTGTCCCAACCATTTGAGCAGGAGAGCGGCTGGAAGCTTCGTTGGGGAAATTTCCGAATTGCACGACTTCTTTGGATGATGCATTGTACGACCTCTACGACAGCTACATTTGCATGCTGAGGAGACAAGTCAAGAATCCGGTTCCGGACTCAATACGGCGAAAACCTCTGCTGCTTACGCGTTGACCTTCGCCTGGCCGTACATGTAATTTTCTGGAGTCAAGATTGGACCCCGAAGTTCTTCCTGTCTCTCGACGACGTCTTAGGAGGAACGAGGAAACAGTCGACTGAGTTCCAAACAATGGTGGGCTGCCTCAATTTTAGTTTTGTCACGTATTTCTACAGACGACAGCAAGCCTTTTACAGGTCATGTGGTCTGGAAGCACGGTTAGTTGAGCTTGAAGATGGGACCATTATGAGTTGCTGGATTCCGAAGCGGAGCAAGGCAAGAGCTGTGACGCCGTCAGTGAAGCCTGCTTTAGTTCTACTGCATGCGTTTGGAACATCTGGGATTTCGTGGAACTATCAGGTTGGGCCGTTTTCGAAGCTCTTTGATCTGTACATTCCAGATCTCGTCTTTTTTGGAGATTCTACGTCCACGAATTTAGCAAGATCTGAACTTTTCCAGGCCGAATGTGTCTACAAGATTCTTCAGCAACTTGGTGTTCACAAATTTAGCATTATAGGAACGAGCTATGGAGGTTTCGTAGCGTACAGAGTGGCGCACTTGTACCCTGATTCGGTTCACAGGCTCGTAATTTCCAGCTCGGGTGTTTGTATGGATCCATCTTCGGATCAAACCTTGTGCGCTAAATATAATGCAAAGAACATCAAAGAGATTCTTCTTCCTACTACTGTGGAAGGGCTGAAGAGAACAGCCAGACTAGGATTCTACAAGGAGCCAAGGATGTTCGTCCCCAAATTCATCTGGGAGGACTATCTCGAGGTAAGTCAAAAGCTGTCATGAATCCAGGCACGGGGCATTCGCGGTTGAGATATCTTGGCTGGTAGTCGTCAGGAAATGAATTCGACGAGAGTGGGATGCTTGGGGACGCACTTATGGGGCTCCTATATCAAGTGCTCATATGTTCAGTTTCGTGTTGTGTTCGATCAGACTCAAAGTATGAAAAACTACAAAGAAAAAACTGAGCTTGCTGACGGCTTGGTTCTTGGGAAGGCCGATTCGCCACCTTTACCGACGGTACCCCAGGTATGCCGTGCTGAGAATTTCCACCATGTTACGGTGGCACCTTGTCATTTCGTACTCAAGCCTTCTTTCCATTGTCCTAGGAAGAGTCTGTACATGGACGTTTGGTTCTTAGGTTTGCTGCCACAACTGCAGGAAACGCTGATCATATGGGGAGAATTTGATGAGGTCTTCAACCTCAAGCTGGCTTACCAACTCAAACAGTGAGTGCTGAGTTTTGAGAAGTCAGAAATTGTTTTGAAGTGTTAAAATTTGCGTCTGATGACATACGAAGACTGGAAAGTGGAGGTAATCCGTTCTTGATTTCGTGTAGGCACATTGGAGAAAAGGCACAAGTGGTCGTCATCAAGAACGCAGCGCACGTACCACAAGTTGAGAAAGCTTCTGAGTACAACAAAAAGGTTCTGGCTTTCCTGTCGGAACGAGAAACCACTACCGAAAGCGAAAGCGAGACTCCCTCGGAACGCAAAACCCAGTAGTGGTTGTATGCGAGGTTTGATAAATTTGATTCTACGATGATATGACACACCAGCTCACGAGGCCAGTCATGGAGTGGAAAATTCACAACACTGTGTTTTCCTCGACAGTGATATTGAAGCAGCCGGATGTTGAAAGCGACGGCAACTGATGATCCATAGAGGAAATGATGAATTTCACCTACACAACTGCTAGTACCACGCGATTGTGGCAGAAACATACCAGAACCCCAGGTTTAGATGCACAACATTTGCGGGCGTCCTCGGGTTTGTATATACATAGAATTCTTTCCTAATAGTTCTGATGGGGATATGGGCAGAAGCTGGGTAAAGATCTCTGTCAACCAAGCGGCTTCACACGAGCTCCCACATCACCTTCAAAATGATTCAGATCTGAAGTTAGATGCGTGTAAGTTAGAGATGTCATCAAAGTCAGGGTGTCTTCACGCAAGTTTCTTGATTACTCTGGGAAGCTTACTTTAGGAATAGATGTGTGGAGACGAAATATGTCAACATATATCACGGCTTTCTCAACCTCTCTACTTGACCTGCAGTATAAAAAAGGGCAAGTAAAATAAAACAGAGATTCAAAGCCATCGTGATTGTGCATGATTTGTGTGGCATCATGAATTGTTTACAGTACTAGGGTCCGCAGCTACGCAGGTGTGGATCTGGAACGTGCTACAAGAACTAGTAGCCCAAAATAGTCTTCCCCTGTGCAAGTTGCTGGAAGGAGTGTAGAGATTATTCCATGATGAGAACTATGTCTTTGATCTTCCGCATTCTTGGGAGCACATCACATCCACGTTCTCTTAAAAAAAGCTCTCCTTAAGTGTCAACGAGTGAAAAAAATACATCTCACCCACTGCGTGATACAGAGGGTTTCTTTTCCAATCCCACTGTTCAACACTGAATCTCGTGCGAGGACTATGGGGAGCAGCACTTCAGCACTTTCCTCCATTCCTCGAAACGTCACGCATTTGCCGGCGCACCAGTAAGTAGTATCTCTGGTTACCTTCCTCGATCACTTGGTGGAGCGTCCGTTCCTTACTGGAGTGAACTACTGAGTTCTGGAATTTGGAGACAGAGAGATGTGTCCTCTATCTTTCCTTCCGGAACGATTATTCTTCGCAATGTTTGGCGACGAGTTGTTTCGTCCTTGTCAGGGACCCCAAGTACACGGAAGAGGTCAATATATTAGCAGATCATCAGCTCGTTCCAAGCGGGAGCAATTATGGCCTCGGGGGTCAGCGATACAGATGTTCAGTTATCAAATTTCAGAGGGCTAAAAGGAGAGGATCATGCATTAATCACGCGTATGAAGGGTTGGATGACAGCTCAAGCACGGACGGTTGAACCTGTGCGTACGGTTTCTATCTCGCAGAGCAGTTTGATTTGCACATTTACTGCCAGCGATGACATCAACATATTTCCATGGTGCACAGAGAAACAGAGTGCCAGCAGAGTGATGAAGACTTACTTTTGTTCTGGTCTCCACCACTCCACTCATATTTGCTTCCAGTGCTCGTCAGATTCAGACGGCATCTATCCCTGACTGTCAGCTTCGTCATAATATTCCACTTGGCAAGATCATTCTCCCCTAGATCCACTAAATCCAAAGAATATTCTGACAGTGAGTTACAGCAAAGAGCCGAAGCATGCAGCTAGCATCGTATGCTTCCATCACTGAAACCCATACCGAACCAAAGTGTAAGAGGTCAGGTAAGACGTCGAGTTTAGAGGATGCATGTTTTCTCTACAGATGATGGAACCCTCTTCCACGACGACGTGTTCTCACCATTATATATCGTAGAAGTCGTGGCTACAACCTACTTTCAAATAGTTGTCTATATCTATGTTATTAATAAGTCTGTTTTCAAGTGGGACTAAAGTCCAGAAAAGAGGACAGGAGGAGACGGGCAACAAGAATCCTTCCGGCCGGTAATGAGATTCCGATTGCAACTTTGCTCGGGTTTTTCGTCTTGCGGTAAGAAGTCACGTACAGTGTGTTAATCGGTCTTGTATTTCGGCTAAACCCAGTGTGCCTTGCTGTCTGGTGCCACACTACAGGAGTTACTCGAGTAGAGTGGACGACTATGTCGCCCAGGCTACCTGACTACATACTAGCAGCAAACACGACCGGCAAGTTGACCTTTTGTTGGAAGAATTGCTGACAGTTGTCGCAAAGTCCCCTTGAGCTCATATAACCACATGTTTGTTGCTCAAGATGTACGTGAAACCGAGTTCTTCATAGCTTACTGCTGGAGCCCGCCTTGGCCAAGAGGGTGTTGAGGCCTTCGGTAACAAAGTACGCATTCAAGTCGAAACATGCCCGCGAAGGATGACACAAAAGGTAAACGAATGTTTTATGATAGGTTGAAAGTGCCCGACTTGCGGTTAACTCTAAGGAGAGTACACATGCGGGCTTGGCGAGAAGGAGAAGAGCGAGGCTCTTGCGTGAGAAAAGGATCGATTGATTTCCTTCAAATAACCCGAGTATTCACCTAACTCACATCATCTTGGGTGATGCGCTTGTAGTTTCCTTGCTACGAAAATACAAGATCAGAACTCGCATGTCTTTACATTTTAAAAAATGAGTCTTCTGTCGAAAGGTGATACGGGAGTGAAGACACCACATTTCTAACTTCTGTCTAGGTGAACTCGACGATTAGCTTTGCAAATGCATAACTGTAACAAGCAGGTGATTAAAGCTTCGGCGCTTTGAGAATATTAAATCTCTATGTTTGTCTAAAAATCCCCAGGATCTGGTGGCCGTACAGGCTTTCGGGTAGACCAAAACATGTATGGCGTGTGTATGTAGAGAGGAATCACACACCACCCAAGCAAATCGTGTTTTCAAAGCAAAACTTCCATCCCCTGCTACACATGACTTCACACTCCTACGTACTCCATCAGATAATGAGCCACAAGTGATTGCTCACAACGCCGTATGCCGAACTGTGATTCCTCTCGCAGTAACTCATTACCTCAGCAAAGTCCGATACAATCCACCACGCCAAACACTTCGAAATTGATTTTGTTCATCAAAGCTGTCCGAGTTTGAAACATGCAGAAAATCAAGGCCATCATTAATGGCACATCTACTCAGGGATGTTAAACAAGACCTGACCTGGTACAGGGATGTAGAGCTCGCCACTTTTCTACTACTTAGGAAGAATAACAGCTCCAATCCCTAAAGCTCTCCAGAGAAAAAATGAGAAGGTGAATCGGTGGTCCTAGTAAAACGTCCCAGTATTGATAGTTAAGCAATGGCATTTGGGTCAAATGTGTGAGCTGTGAGAGCTCAAGCTGACCCTCCATCTATTGATGACAGGCAACGACAGAGATGTACATAATCAACAGGACTAATATGAAATCAGTGAATCTGACATGAGGGAGCGAGGTGAACTCAAATTTGAAGGTGTGAATATGTCCAGGCAACGCAGGACAAAAAAACTTCGCTGCTTTGGACAAATTACTATACAATGCTGCTCCGTTCTATGTGCCCAGTACACAGTGGCCTATATCTATGTAGGCATAAAGGCAATAATTCAGTAATGAAATTCATATATCCATCAATGATCTCTGATCCTCCACCAAGGTTTTAGCTGTACACTGGTGCTGCGCATGATGAACAGAGCAAGTACCTAAACATGCAGAGTTCTAATCCAGCTGCTCAGTAGCTGAGTATAAGGCGTTAAAGGCAACACTTATACCTTTACCAAATGTCGCCCCGTAGCAGTCTTCTCAAAAGTCCCGGAGCAAGATTGTAGCTGTTGAATTCCGAAAACCAGTGTTTATCTCGTCGCAATTGCCTAAAAACACTTCAGAGTGTCAACCCTGATGTCTCGGCACAATAGACTTCCGGATCCCAGCTGCGGTTTCCGACTTCGCATCCACTTTATGAAATCCCCAGATGAAGACATGTAAGACTGAGATAACAAGTATCTGCATTACAATGGCAGGAAGAGCCAGTTCCATACGCAATGCTTGACAGCAAGACCGAGGCAAACCCAGTTTCCTGAATCCATCAAAATCATACTCAGGGCCGGCCCTAACATCTGCCAGCCTATGATTACTTGAAATTAAAATGCCTCCATGGCAACAGGGATGACAGAGCTTGACTCTCTAAGTTTGGGACCGTTATCAGGTCGACCCATGCCAGCAGCAACATCGGCGTCGACTTGATTGTGTGGTGCTGCGCCTTTCATCATCTTCACCCGCTTCTTGTGAAGCTTGGTCTTGAAATGATCGTCTCGGATGTTTGCAGAAGCAAAGTATCGGTCGCAATGCAAACAGTAGTACTGTCCCATTCCAGGAAGATCCTCGTCTACTGGGAGGGGCTTCCTCTCGTCGACCCTCAATTCGGTGTGAATCAAATCATCTCCTTTCTTCATAAATTTCGCGCGCAGTGCAGTCTTGTGCGAGTAACCCTTTTTCTTGCTGTTTTTGTGATTCGGACAACGCCCCATGGTTTCTGAATAGATTACGACGCTACGAGCTAAGCTTTGCAAATTTGCAGACTACGAAAGGGGTTACATTGACGAGACGTTCCTGTGAAAACCCCCTGAACTCTGCTGGGGAAGATTAGGGTTGCCAGTCGGTGATCTGGCGCGGTGTGGACGAAAACTCGACTGAAACGTATCCAGATACCGAAACCCCGCCCGTAAGGGGAAAATACCGCATATACCCGAATAGACACGGGAACGGAAGATCAAAGGGCAATATACTTGATTGTGATACTATTTTGTGTGACTTATTTTGTTATCAACTTAGTCCACTTCTACCTCTATATTGATTTCATACATAAATGATGAGCTATCCAAGTTGGAGTTTGACAAGTTAAAGTCGTTTATATAAATTCGGAATAAGAGATGTAATTATATATTTGATACTCTCTCGATACACTTTCTTTTATTTTGTGACTTGACTCTGTAAATTCATATCTTGAATGAGAAATAATTCTGCTCATATTAGAAATGTTGTTTTAAAAAATTCCTTCGTTTATATAGGTTTTATTTATTTGGACGCGAAAAGTTAAAAAAAATTGCCATGATGTGACTATTTTTTAGGAAAATACAAGTCTCTTGAAAAGATGATGAAAATTCTACCGACTCAACAAATACAGATAAACGTAACTGACAACGAAACTCAGTCACATTAAGACACGTTTAAAGGATTTCCGACTGGAGGGCTCACCAACCCCCCGCTAAACTCATCACGGATGGCCATGTCGAGACCTTTGAGAACGAAATCCATACTCAACTGTGTTCTTCAATGGACGGTGGCTGATTCTGTGATTTGCTCTTTAGTCTCCCTCAGTCGCAGTCAGCTTCTTCACTTTGCCCAAAGTACGCAAGGAAGTTGTACAGCTGGACCACAGACACGAGCGCGGGGTGGATTTCCCGCCATTGCACATTGAGTCTTTCATTGCACATTGCTTCCGGTCCCGGATGCGAAGATCTCTTGAATTTTGGTCACTGTCACTTGTCGGTAGGAGTTCGGTAAACAAAACCCAGGACAGACGCCCTCCTGGATTTTGTTTAGTCCGCCAAGAATTTGATTTAAAGTCATCTTTCACAGGGCAGGTTTCGAAATCTGCAAGAGTGCGTAGCGAAGGTGTTGATGATACTGCCAAGATTTTGATCTGAAGTCATCTGTCAGAGGGCTGGTTTCGAATTTTGCAGGAGTTCGTAGCGCGAAGATGTTGGTTGTACTGCCAAGATTTGGAACCATAGGTATATCCGTCACAGGGCTGGCTGCGAAACTTGCAGGAGTTAGTAGCTGAGCGGGGAGGAAGAACTTTATAGGATTGGAGGTCTGGGAGATGTTCACGGGCACGTTGTTTTTCATGTTTGCTCTCACGCCTGAAGAAGGTTATGGAATTTTATAATCGCCACTCAGAGCGTGCAAGCCGGAAGTTGATTCGGAATAGTTGCTAGAATCATTCGAATTCAAGAGACTCTTCGTCCTTCAGAGTAAAATTTGAGCACGGTGCCTGAAAGATGTTGGATGGTGGCAGTGCGAATGGATTTTGGTGGTCGACGAGGCAGTGTCTTTCGACCTTTGATTATGAGATAAACTGGCTCATATTTCGCAGCCTGTAGATTCGGGGCCTCGTCTGTGAGAGGGTCCTCTTAAGTGTGCAGCGATGCCGATGCCGACAGCCTCGACTTTGAACGCCAAGCACCACACCTTTCTGCAGGCTATTATGAACAGGGGTCCTCTGTGGGAGGACACCGTTCTCCAAATATACAAATCACTTCAGAATGTCGACTCTCTTGGTAGGTTTCAGATGCTTCGCACTTTCATTTGTACCTCAATGACTCCCGCTGAACGGCAAGCAGACGTAACTTCCGAATGTTGTGAATGGACAACAACTCCCTTGATGCCCAGATTCTAACTTCAATCACTTCAGTTTATTGTAAAACTCGGAAGGTGAGGTAGTCTTGGGTGAGCAAGCCTCTCATAATCATCGAATAGAGTTCGATAACCGCTTGCCGGCACGCGCTTCATGGGCACATTGGCCAATGCCTACCCAATATCAACTTGTCCACTTGAGCTGTCTGTCGAAAACAATGCAGACACCGAATCACGGTGAATCCTGCTGTCCATGACTTCAACAGGAAGTAGCAAATTCCACGACGCAACCGTCAGCTGCCAATCGAATCCGATGCGAAAGCACATCATAGTGGCAACGCAAAACATGATGATGATTCTGAATTGTCTCCGGTATTGCAGATGGTTTTTATTTGTTTCTCGGAGAAATCAACAAGGAGCTCGAATTTGTGGAGATGGAGCTCAAGAAAGTTACGAACCAGAACGATGGTAAGGAGTATTTCGGCATGATAAATAAGTATGCCAGCCCGCAGGCAAAGCTCGGGTCGAGACTCTCAAGCGCTCAAATCGCCTTCTTCAAAGCTGTGGTAATTGGCTGACCACGCAACTCTATGTTTTACAACATGTCGGAGATAAATTGCAATTGTAAATTTCCTCGGTATCCACATGATTCAGCGTAGATAAGAAATCGAACAGAATTATAGAACTTGAACTGGCTTCTGGAATTGCAGATGGAGGCCATAGTCCTAGAGCCTTCTGGTGAAGGCTACATTCTTAGTGCTACGGCCCTGAATCTGAAGCCCGCCGAAGCTCATCAGGTCGATCTCTTGACATTTTACGTTTTCAATGTTATTCTCTGAATCTTATTCAAATGGGCTTGTGCTTTGAGATCTACGCTGTCATGTATTCAGATACGACCCTAGAAAGAGCAACGCCTAATCCTCAGGTCACCACGCCAATTTCGTGTACTCTACCACTTGCGTAGGTGGAGGCGTCTGGAGCAGCAAGCAGCCAAACGACGGCTATCATCAAAATGACAATGAGTGCAAAAGAAGAAGCTTTGGATCTTCTGGTAAGAGACCAATGGCTTAGCCGCACTGGAGACGGTGGAGTCTCATTAGGAACGAGGTCCTTTTTAGAACTGAGAGGGTTGTTCAGAAACTTGGAGGTGCCTTTCTGCGAGGTTTGCAACGAAGCTGCAATTAAGGTTAGTTCTTGTCAGTGAGTTTTACGTCGATTGCCTCGCTTACCTTGCCAAACATCTCGTAAAATGAGTCCGGAAGATCGACCCGAGCTAGAGAACAACTTTTTCATAGACACAATTCACCGGGAAACCTGTCCATCTACTATCATGTATGTTTGACTGCTTGAAGAAGCCACTAGTCTCTTTTCTTTGATCACTCGTTCTTCTAAATGCAGGCTGAGCTTTGCCAAAATCACGAGTGTCAAGTGCGAATGCACTCGTACTGTCTAAACAAGAAATTTCGAGGACGTCAGGTATGTCTGTTCTTTTCTTGCCTGTATTTCCAGTATTCTCTATCCTGTCTTGACCTATTTTCTGTGATGCACAAATCGAAAAAGCTTCGATCCTGTAACTTTTTGGCCACCTAGTTGGAGATCATGCCCAAGTTGTGACTGTGTTGCTTTCTACGTAAAATCACACAATTTGCTCTGAATTCTGTACAGGCGAGAGTATGTTCTCGTTGTCATTTCGAGTGGGTAGGTGCTGCAGCTGAAGACGACGATGAAGAAGAGAACATGAATGGGCAGACTAGGAACCCTAGAGGTAGTTCTCGTCGCGACAATACAATTCGAGAGCCTATGGTGGCTGACACCATAGTCGTGGCTGACACCGACGATGAGGAAGAGAACATCACGGGGCACATTCGGAGACCTGCGATTAACATTCGCAATTCTCGTCGCGGCAGTACATTGGCAAAGCCTGCGGCGTCGCAAAATGAGAGAAATAAACCCGCTCGGAGGTCTCAGTATTCCACCCGAAACAAATCTCGAGTAAGTGGATCACCAGACAACGAAGAAAATAGTGAGGCAGAAGACCCGGAAGAAGAAGACATCACGCGACTCGACTCAGAGGAGGAGCCCGAGGATTCTCCGCCCCCCAGGAAACGCAGATTGCTGCGGAAGAGGGGTTGAGCACTTTCGATGACGAGTTTTCTTCTGTACCATTTGTAAAATGAAAGGACGCTGTGATGAAAGATGGAGTGTCAGGGACGGCTCCATATATGTTGTGAGAGGTAGTAGGTTTTACAAAGGGTTAGTTGTTAGATTAGAGCTTTCGGGGAGTAAGAACATCGTCCTGGTTTATGTAGATACCCGCAGGGGAAGCTTCCGTTTGGATGATTCAGGCCCAATCATTCTGTACAGTGTTTTCGGCCGCAGTTTGGATGCAGAGCCCATCGTTTCTTCTCAAATAACCTTCTTCAGTCTACATCGGCGGAATATATTTGTTGAATTCAGGCTGAAACATTCTCAGTTGTGTTCGCCGAGCCGAGAAGTTGACTAAGAGAGAGAGCCAACCTAACCTTCTGAGACTGCAGATAATTCTGTAAAACGAGGACAGAAAGCTTTGAAGATCACCTCAATCTTTCATGCTTTCTTGTCGAAGACGAGTCCAGTCCTTTCTTCTTGGAGAAGCTTGTTCGGAGGAAGGGCTTTTCGTTTCACTGAACGCACTCACATATACTGAAAGATATCACTAAGCATTCCTTGTTGTAGAAACCAAGTGAAGACATATGTAGCCCATGGGCTGAGGCCGGATCAGACGTGGCTTAGGCGATGACCCGAACGAAAATGAAGTTTTCCAGTCTACCACTTTGTATAGGAGAGGGGAATTAGCAGCTTAGTGTTGTTTTTACAAATCTGCTACGGCGGCCATAATCGTTGGCCGCCGTATCAGATTTTTCCACACAACACTAAGCTGCTATAAGCTGCTATGCCATGAACATTGGCATGTGAACGCATTAGCTGTACTTCACTAGTCCAGACCAGAAAGTGTTTTTACTTTGTTTGCTCATAATTAAAACAAACGTTCTTACAAACAAGACTCTTCATTTTTCTCCGTCTTGTTTAGGATACCCTGAGATTTTTTCACTGCTAGTCATGAGTAAATACATTCTGCAAATTTATCGTTTTCTTGTGAAAATCTGGAAATTTATCGTTGTCTTCTGAATATCTGGAATTCGAAGCATCTACAAGCATTTCAACTTGTTTCATTGCTCGGAATGAGAGAACACATTCTGCAAATTTATCTTTGTCTTTTGCAATCTGGAATTCAAAGTAACTACAAGCATTTCAACTTTTGCAATCTGGAATTCGAAGTAACTACAAGCATTTCAACTTAATTCCACTATATGGTCATCAACAGCAACATCGTACAATCCACATCCCCTCTCCTGGATTTTCAATTTCAAAGCCTGTTACTTTTTCCGAAGAGCTCCACGCCCGCTGCCGCTACGTCCTCGTTACTTTGCTACAGCGCTACAGCGCAGCTCCGCCGTCTTTTACTTTCTTACATTTTCGCATTGAGGACGAGATTGCGGACCGTGATTGTGGATTGTGTTTCTCGGAGCGGATTTTTTCTCTTCCTTTCTTCCATTTTCACATCGAGGACACTGCGGACAAGATCTCATGACGCAGGACAAAGATGAAACAAGATCGGAAATCGAGGATAAGCCTCGACAGTAGAAAAACGAGAAAAGTACAGTCTCCCGATTGGTGAAGAACCGCTTCACTAGATTGAAAACCCTCGCAAAGCACATCCTGTTTTTCGACATTAGTACGTAATGATGGTCACGCACTCGCTACTGGGAAAGCGGAGCGCTGTTAGCAAGGAAGGGAGATTCTCCGGTACTCGAGACTCTCCCGACGAGAGGTTGGGCAAAGGGGAATCTACGAACTGCAAGTGCGATGGTCGGCGAGCTATTGCGTGTCACTCCACGTCATACAAAGCGTGCTGACGTGGACAATTTAGCAGGGCCCGATGCCCCCGGCTCGATAGCGGCAAAGCCATGGTCAGCGTTCTCGCAATCCTTCGTCGATCGGTCGGTCGGTGGGTCTGGGTCCCGTTCAAGTGAGAGGCGATTGTTTGAATGGCGGGCAGATTGCAGGCGATGGCGACGCTGTGCTGGGCTCGCGTTTCCGCTCCTTCGGCGGCAGCAGCAGCAGCAGTTGGGTGGAATCTGGCCTTCTCTCCCTCGTTATCTGTTTCTCGAGCGGTGGGTTGCCCCTCGGCCGCTGCTCGAGGATGTGGCCTATGGCAGATCAGGGGTATGGCGGGAGACGGGAATGCAGGAGAGAAAGCCAAAATGCCCGCCAGGCTCGTTCAGGTGCAGAAACTCCTGAATGATGTTCCCGATCTGCCGGATGACTACGGTAAGCCCACTCCCAAGATTACAATGGATCATGTCACCGTGACTTTTGCGAGAAGCGGAGGAGCTGGAGGGCAGAATGTGAATAAGGTTAATACGAAGGTCGACATGCGATTCAATGTCATGGCTTCCAACTGGCTTCCCGAGAGAATCAGGCTGAAGCTTCTGCAACAGGAGAAAAACCGTATCAACGGTGAAGGAGAGATTGTTGTTTCGTCTACAAGGACGAGAACACAAAAAGGCAACATCGAGGATGCTCTTGCCAAACTCCAGGATATGATTGACGCAGCAGCATATGTTCAGCCGCCGCCTTCGGAAGAAACAAAGAAGAAAATTCAAAAGTTAGCCCAGAAAGAGAATGAGAGGAGACTCCAGGACAAGAAGAAATCTTCGTCAAAGAAGTCGGACAGGAGGAATAAGGGAAGCTGGGACTGATTGGAAAAATTTTCGAGCAATTTTCTGTTGCACATTCCAGAACTCGTAACCATGTATGAATGACATGTGAACACTCGTCAAGCGAGGTGCGGGGAACGCTGATGATGTGGCCATCTTCGGTTTTCTCACACACGGTCCATTCTGATTTTCTACGAGCTATTTATTTGAGAGGTTTCAGCCTCTGCCTGAGCCTGTTGCGGGTGTTCACGAACTAGAAATCGCCGCATCCAGAGGTAACCTCTGCTGTCCAATACTTTTAGGTCAGGCGCAATATGTGAGTATCGAAGTCAGTGACATGTATTTTTCGTCGAAGTATAATTGATAAGAGGTGGTTATGCGACGAAGAAAAGCACAAGATGAGAGTGAAGCACCCTTGATGTTTAAAATTGAGAACAGTTCAGAAATGGTCAAGAACTACGAACAAAACTAATCGAACTTAGATACAGAACACGCTTCCTACCAGCGAGGCGAGGACTTCAAATCCAACCATGAATATTCTTGGGGTATCAACTTTCTTCATCATCTAGTGGATAGAAATAACCACTAAGAAAAGACCTGGACAATTAGGTCTGAACGCTGCTTTTTATGTTGCCAAGTTTTTAGAACCCTCATATTTTACCACAGACTATCGGGTCGTTAGTTCAATTTCTCCAGATCATCACTCTATCCTGCTATCTGACTGGCAATTGATCACAGTTATTTATGTTCTTGCCATGCTCTTCTCTCGTCCAGCCAGATGTACGTCTTGTGTATGAAGGAATTTATGAGAGTCTGAGAAGCACGTATGCTGAAACTCTACGCAGGAAAATGAATATCAGGGGAGATCGCAAGGATCAGCCAAGGCCTTGGCATAGAAAAGGCTCGCTTGTCATTAGAATCCTGGCTTTCTTGCTCGCGAATGCCAGGAAGGAATGTCACCACGCAATCTCCTTGGGCAGGTTTCTTTCTCGTTGGCTGCAACGTTTGATGTAGATGTTTCGCTTTGAAGGATCAGAAACGAAGTATCAATTACCGAATATGGTTTGGTTCCAAAGCGTAGTTTTGAATGTGGAGTGCATGATTAGACGGGGCCATACTCTCTTTGAAAGAAAGCTTGCAAGAATATTGTTCAGCTGTACATGGCACGAATTTCGAGTACACGCTGACTTGTGTAAGCCATAGCAGACACCTGCTTTTGAGCGTGATTTGATGATGATTGTACATAATGAAAATTGTGTTTATCATCTTTGGTCACGAAACAAATTCATCTAACTCATGGCCGGAAGATTTTCCGAGAACCTCAAAGACACGTCCTGTGAAGCAAATTTCCTCTGCAGCTCAATGACAGGCCTGTTCACTGAGGCAGGGTTTTCATGATTTCAGGGACGCAATGTCGGGGCGAAGTCTACTAACCCTTTAATCTTTTTAACCTGGTACAACAAATGAATAGCGTCCCCTCAGTCGGAGTGAACGGTTGAACATCCTATCCAAATTCACAGGCTGTGTCGCCAATCAACAGGTCATATTGTTTCTGGGCTCGACATTCCAGTAGTACGTATGTCCTTGGCGCGCAACGAAAACTTAAAGAGTTATAGTTTAGTGTTTATATATTTTGGCGCAGGGTGATCTGTGTAGACAATGATTTTTAGAAGTTTGCACGCTGAATTCTTGGCTAAAGTTTTCCTGCATACTTAACGGGATCACATCCCTCGATGTGTCAAGTAACAAGCTATTCCCTCAACCATTAACTGAGCTGTGAATATAAAATACATATCCGCCTTTCATTAGATGAGGTATAAAGTTTAGATAAATCGCATTTGGATAGGAGCGGTGCAACTGTTCTTTGTTCACCAGCCTTGCGAACAATTGTTAGCCTATTGATTGTCATGATAATGTCATTGTAAACCCATGTAGTTATCATGCTCGTCATAACCAGTCGCATGGGCAACTTTCTGAGGAAGAAGATGAACTTGTTTGGTTTGCTGACTCCGGAGCCAATGTCATCGGAACACGGGTTTGCAAGACGCTGAATGAGCTGCATTAATGATCCTGAATGACAGAGACTAGGAGATCCTACTCTGGAGAGGACTCAAATATATTTCAGGGTTTATCGAAAATGCAATGAGCATACTCAGATAGCGGTATTCTCATAAACAAGGGTTCCAAGCGAAGACCACAATCGGACAGAAACACACAACGTGAACAGCCAACAGAACTTTGGACTGGTGTTCATGCTAGGTACATCTTCACGCACGCTTTTGTATGACGTGGAGTGACACGCAATAGCTCGCCGACCATCGGACTTGCAGTTCGTAGATTCCCCTTTGCCCAACCTCTCGTCGGGAGAGTCTCGAGTACCGGAGAATCTCCCTTCCTTGATAACAGCGCTCCGCTTTCTCAGTGGCGAGTGCAAATCATCCTTCCGTACTAATGTCGAAAAACAAGATGTGCTTTGCAAGGTTTTACAACACAGTGAAGCGGATCTTAACCAATCGGGATACTGTATTTTTCTCGTTTATTTTTCTCGTACACGGAAGATTGCCTTCTTTGTCTACTTAGTCGTCAACCCTCCGTCGAGTCCTTACGCTTCCGACAAGTTCCTGCCGGGAAGGTAATTGTCACAATCTGTTCTTCAACAGCGCACTTCTCTTGTACGAGAAAGCTCATATCAGCAAATTGAAATTCCTACAAACTTCCTGGAACTCTGCTTCACGTAACAACTGCCAAGATAAGACAGGGTGGAAACAGAGCGTAAGGTGTCCTTGCGACCAATGTCCACACAATCACTTGTGGTGATTTTGGACGTATGAATTCACGAAGCTGCAGTGAGATTACAGTTCTCAAAATACATCATTCTATTCTTGAAATATAATCCTTGCCACGTGAAGCGAAGAACTAAGTCTTTGCTGTCCATGTTTCCCACTCTTATCAATGTTTTTTCATGGCGTTTTTTCTACATTGGTTTGATTCTCCATCAAAAAGTATATTTGGTTCTTAACCATACCCTACTGAACTTTGAACTTAAACTCAGAAGGTCGCTTGCTGCTGACTCATAGTTTCAATGAACGTTCTGATGGGGACCCATTCTTTTCTATACTATTTAATTTAATCCAAAAACTGATGCAATAATATCATCTCCTATACATCCGAAAATCAGTTTTTCTACCGGTATCAATACTCCAGTAGGAGAGTCCCACATATGGCTAAATATGATCAAACGGGTGTTGATTGTGTAACTATGAAAAAAATTTCCCAAAAAACTTGGACCTTGTTGGAAATGGATCCTGTAAAATTTTACACGATCTACACGTGTCCAACAAGTACTAACCAACAAGTACTAACCCTCGGAATACACTCTACCTAAGAAACGTGGGAAAAAACATTTGTTTCCGTCTTCGTACCTGAGACTTTCCTCGGTTTTATCTTTAAGAAATCTCAACCTTTATACCTTCACCAACCATTAACAAAGTAAGGTGAAACACTCTTTCCATTTTTAATGACTGTTATGGATGAAAAGGGTTATAAATTCTTAGATAAAAGGGGCATCATGAATGTTAATGCGTCATGAAAGCTCCCCACATGAAAAAATTCAACCTACATCCAAACATAAGCTCATTTCCTCACAATCATATCGAACAAATCTGGACCTTCACACGTTCCTACAGCCACTAAGGATCACCAACAATGCTTTGGGTTGATAAATCTTAACATTTTCAGGTTCTTTGATCTTCATATAACATTTTTGAGATATTTTGGGACAATAGAATTGGCTATCGCATGAGGTTGAAGATTTCTTCATATATTCATATCAAAAACAAGGTTGCAAACACTGCTCCAGTTTGAGTACATCGCATGGGCAATATTGATAACGATTTCCTAAATCCAAAGAAAGCATGTTTTTGCTTGTTTCTAGTTGGCTGAAAGAACATTTCAACTTCCCTGTAAAGTAACTGAGCCAATCATGAAAATATACAGCGAGAACTGTTTAGTACGAGAACTGTCATGTAATTTTTAAAACGTCATTGGCGTTTTGGCGTTGTGGCGACCTACCAACTACTCATATGCTACAGAGAAGAGAAGGCATTTTGACTTTACTTGCTTCAACAACTTCTGTTGTTGAAAGCAAACCGAATTTAAGATTCAACACACATGATTCTCTGGTATTCTAGGTTATTTTTGACAAACCGAAAAAATTGCACACCCTTGTAATACTACAGCTCGCCTCGAAATATTGAGCTAATATATCGAGGCAATAAACTATTGAGGCATTTGTCCAACTACATTTTGTGTCCAACTACAACATAAAACTAGAGTTCACAAGGTGTGGACTTAGTTCCACTGCCACTGTTACTTCTCTTTTAGAAAGCTCCAGAGTGCATTGTGGGTTTACTTCTCCTCCAGACAGCTCCAGAGTGCATTGTGGTGCAACCTTCAAACCGCCACTTGTAATCACGAGCTGTTTCAAATACTGCAAGCCAGCTCCCAGGGGAGTGACGAAGCATTGTGAGGCTATTCTTCTATACAGAAGCGGCTCGTTGAAGTCTGCAACCTTGAAACCGCCACTTGTCGTGTCGGAAGCTTTCATGGACTCAGCAGATGGGTCAAACACTGCAATTGTCCAAAAATAATCCTCAAATAAAAAAATAAAAAAACAGCAGAAATGCAGAAATGGAAAAATAATCATTGTTACAGTCACTGTTTGAACTTTCTTCTAATAATCAGCATCTTGTTTATGCTTCATTCTTACGTTGACACTTCTCATACTTGATCACAAAGTTGAACAGGTGGTGAAATCAAGCTTGTTGCTAGGTATGCAAATAGATGGATTTTGAAATCGAGATTTTATTTCTCTTATATGATTCACTCATATGGCTGACACATGATCTTTGCCAAATAAAGATTGCCAACATCGAGCTTCTTTAATCTATGATCAGAGGAAGATACTCATACACCCTCTTTTAATCCGAGATTTTACTTTTCTCCATTAGTAATTGCAGTGCACTGATAATTATTGCCTGGCCTTTTTTCAGGCATTCGGATCCAACTTTGGGATCAAGTATGAAAAGTTTCAACGTAAGAATCAAGCACAAACAAGATGCTGATTATTAGAAGTTCGAAAAGTGACTAGTGACTGTGACAATGATATGTTTTCCATTTCTGCTTCTTGCGTTGACACTTTTCATACTTGATCCCAAAGTTGTATCCAAATACCTGAAAAGAGGCCAGGCAATAATCATCAGTGCACTGCAATTATTAATTGAGAAAAGTAAAATGTCGGATTAGGAAAGGGTGTACGAGTATCTACCTCTGATCATAGATTAGAGAAACTCGATGCTAACAAACTTTATGTGGCAAAGATCATGTGCTAGCCATATGGGTGAATTATAAAAGCAAAATGAAATCTCAATTCCGGCATCCCTCTATCTGCATACCCAGCAACAAGCTTGTTGCTTTCTTAAATCAGAGCACAGCAATAAAGTCTCCTGGCAATCAAAGTTTTGCACATCACATGATAAGGATTAGTACAAAGAGATTAGCTCAAAAATCACAAGAAACTTACGCAGAATGACACTTTAATCATAAACTGCCCCATGACAACAAATTAATATCGAGAGAGAGGAGCAACCATTACCGAATCGTAAGTCTCCACTCGCCCCATGCAAAACATTCGCCGACTAGCGTTCCCTGCTCAAGCATCCGCTACGATAAACGTAAACTGAAGTCAATCCACAATCATACTCGGCAGTGTCGTCCTCGCTGCCAAAATGTAAGATAGGAAGAGAGGGCAGAATAATCTTGAAGTCAATCCACAATCATACTCGGCAGTGTCGTCCTCGCTGCCAAAATGTAAGATAGGAAAAGAGGGCAGAATAATCTTGTAGCTGCGCTGTGGTTACTGTGCACCTGCGTGCCCAGTGACGAGAACATAACGGCAGCAGGGTTAGAGCAGTTTGGGAAAAGTTACATGTTTTCGAATTTAAAATCCAGGAGAGCCGATGTGGAATGTATGATGTTGCTGTTGATGACCATCTCGTAGAAATGAATTTGAAATGCTGGAAGTAACTACCAGCATTTCAAATTCAAAAGATTGCAAAAGACGACGATAAACTTGCAGACAAAAATGAAGACTCTTGTATGTAATAACATTTGTTTTAATTATGAGCCACCAAAGTAAGAACACTTTCTGGTCCGGACGAGTGAAGTACAGGTAATGCGTTCACATGCCAATGTTCATGGACTGGTGATCAAGCCTTAGTCTTTTCTGACAAGAGTGAGAGTGAGTTTACATTTATAGCGCCTGTCCAGCCGACGTGTCTAAGATGACATGTGATTGCAAGGGCCATTCAAGATGCATTAGCACACGGAACCTGTTTGAAGACAACTGTCCCTAGAAGTGGAGATGGTTTTGGCCTCGAAGCATTACAGACGAACAAAGTAATTAACATCGGTAACTGATTCCAGTAGTGCGCGCAAGACAGCAGCCTGGCTTATGGGAAAGCTGAATGAGGAGGGTATTGTCTGCCTACAATGGTCATGGGTTGATATGGTGTTTGGAGATGAGGAGCTTTCGTTTTACAATAACAGTAGTACAGTGTGAGGATCGGTAGATGTAAATACAATCTAATACAATCTATGTAATACGCAATATATGAAGTATCAGTAGTTCACGAATATGTTACATTAGGGCATGAGAGAGCATTTCACTAAAATTCAAAGCACACCAGTCTCTACAGTGACATTCCTGGACTAAAGATCCAAGGTCAAGGTCAAGATACATTGTATTAATACTAGCATGTAACCAACCCAATAAGTATCATAGTCTAACCAGGATATCGCTGACTATAGTTAACAAAACGAGAGTTTGCCTTACAAACTGCTCCGTGACTCTAGTCTTGGGGGTCAGTAATTTGTAAAGTGCATACGCAGCCAGATATTGTAGAAGGTAAAATTAATAAAGTATTTTTCCGTATACGAATAAGATTACCTGACAGTCAGTTATAGATGACCAAATGTTGAATACAGATTATTTAAACGAATCTATTTAGTTAGATAATTATTATAAAATAAATATTACATGATGCCTTGGATATCTACCAAAGTAATTACTTTGGTAATTTCATCCTTCCCATATAATTTTCCCATTTCTGTCAAACTCTCCATCAAGGTATTGTCAATGTGATTTACTTATCTATTCATCATTGATTATCCTCAACATAGATCAGACTTTGACGGTCACAATGTAGTAAGATGTTATCATGTCACTATATTATTCCATTGATAATCTTGTTTATCAAGATTCCTTTTTGTGTTACGTATGTTGTCGCAACGAGTTCATCTTCTATATATGTTTAAAAAACAAAATCTTTGAAGAGGAGATCTCCAACTGATAGATCCATTTGCATAAGTAAGAAAATCTCATAAATTTCTTAAATCTTCATAATTTGCATCACAATTCGAAAATTGACACAACATAAAATTTCTTAACCTCGAGACTCTTCTGAAAAGTGTTAAAAATTTGGATGAAGAATCAAGACGAAAGCCACATGGCAAATTCTTGGCTTAATCTGCTTGCAAGCAGGTCCTTGCAAGGTTCCAGGAAATGGGGTAATGACAAGGTAGTCCTGCAAAAAGTAGCAGCAGTTAATAGGGAAAGGCATTTAAAAAATTTGGGTGTACACATAGCAATTTCTCATTTTTTTCGAGAGAATGTCACCATCGTTACAATGTAATTTCACAGGGTTGTGAAAGTTTGACCCCACGAAGGATACCCATGCATAGTGGATGCGGCCATATACGAAGGCTTATGAGTTGTCCATTACTCACGGCAAGCAACTCAAGGAAGGACAAGGATCAAACAAAAGGCAAAGGACGAAGCTTCTTGAGACAAGAAGAGATGGAAATTCTTATAAAAGTGAAAGCTCAAGGACTGTGGCCTAAAAAGAATCTAGCTATTTGGACAAAGAGTGGAAGTGCACCGCCAAATTGAAGTATGCTCATAAGATGAAACTTCCTCATGGCGGTCCAAAGTATTGAAATTGAAGCGGAAAAGCTAACCAAGACTTTGGAAGAGTTGTAGGTGGAATTTAGTTGGTAATAAATAACCCAGAAAAAAACGTACACTTAAAGCAAGCCAAATTTTACTATTTGCAGTAATCTATGTCATATCGAATCGGAGCATTAGCCCTTGGATGGATGTTTGATCCTACTAGTAGAATGGGTCATGATGTGGGAATACTCTCACTGCTAGAAGAATTTCAAAGACCATATCTAAGGAGTACATGGTGTGGGAAGTATTTCAATCATATCGCCAATGGATATTCGGAGATATGCCACGGTAGAAATGGCTTTGGGATCTTGGTTTCTGCACCCGTTAAGTAGTAATTGCAAAAGGCAAAAACAAGTATGGAGTGGCGACCATCCGCCCCGACCAGAAAATGATATCAATAGATACGCAACGCAAGGAATGTGGTTTGAAACGCCATCTAAGGGGGCCTTGGAAGCTCGCCAGGTAAGTATAGAGGAGCGATCTCCCAAGGAAAGATCAAAATGGCCAGAATCCGAAGAAAATAAAAGATGGTTTCAACCATTCGAGGGTCTCCTTCGCATGCTTTGGATCATTCAGAAACTGTGCAGTCCGGTTTGGTTTCTTCAAGTAAGCTCATCTATTCACCGCAGTTTAAATTGGAAGACCGCATCGTTTCAACATAAAAGAGTTTCGGCCCTTCCTTTAGTTCACATCATGTTTTCTTCCTGCGTGTGCCAAGTTTGTCATTACTTTGTAACATATCTGATGTTCCAGTACAATCTTTGTGATAGCATACATTTATAACATCATCAATAACTTATTGATGATGAAAACAATGTACATGATGATGATGTTTCTTATTGACAATAAGAAACATGAAGCTTCTGAGTTCGAATATACATAAAGCCGTTGCAACTACCGCGTCATTTGTACGACGGACGAAGTGACTCCAGCAAACCTCGTAGGTTGAGGTTGAGGTAGATGTATCGCTTGTTTAGCTTGACTAACAAGATGGATGCAACTGGAAAGCAATCGAATATTTGACATGTCTAGCTAATAATATCGTAAATTTTTTTGAAAAAATCTTTTTCTCATGTTACCTGCATGGTATAAGAGATGACTATTTGTTGCAAGTAGATGATATTCTTTTCGATCAATATGTGATGTTTGACATATTCTCCTATGATGTTGCTCTCGATCCAGTTAGGTTGTCCAACCATCCATCCATTTTATGTGTTCTGTTATCACACTTGAAAGCATTTGATATTTTTATTTTTTGATAAAGCATCTGACCATGATATTTTGATTGTGTGACTGGAGTTTTGACATAGATTGTAATGTCATGGAAAGAGGGAGGTTCATAATAGGTGAAGAGTATCATTCGCATTTCTTACATTTGATCATTCTATACAGTAATATAATCTTTTCCTTTTGTGATTGCTTAAAAATCTAGGCATATTTAGTTAGATATGAAGTTCATTTGTTTTGGAGTGTTCTTTCACAAGATGTACTTCAAAATTGGTCTAGAGAGAGGAAAGATTTACGAGAATTAAATATTAGTGTCAAGAAGGCGGAGGATATGGATACAGGTTAATGATTTGTACTTTAGAGCTTAACAATTGACTAGCAAAAAGTTATATAAGTCAAATTTGAACCAAAATTATACAATTTTACATAAAAATGATACTTCAAGAAAAAAATACTCTACAAATTTCCACGACAAAGTTTAGAATTTGAAATTTGATGCCCAAAAAAAAATTTAAGTTGTGCCAACCAAGCAAAAATAACAATGGCAGAAACATTGATCAATATATGATTGAGATTTCCACTTTGAACAAAATAGATGCTGTAAATTGTAATAATCCAAAGTTCATAGATGTATGAATGTATTTTTATATTTTTTTAAAGAATAATCAAATATTTTACTGTGGTGTTTTCATTCATATTAAATTTAATTTGTTTTAACTAATTTTAGCTATAAGACTAAAATTTGGAAAAAAAAACAGATTATCATTACTTATATATGCGCATTTTTAATTTATTTTTATTTGAAATTGTTTTTTATTATTTGTTATTTTTTATTGGTTTGATGAAATACAAAAATTTGATTATTTGGACTTAATATAAATTTGACTTTATTACAAAATTGAACGTCTAAAAAATATAGAACGTTAGCAATAGAATGTCACCATCTCAACATAAGAAAAAAAAAACTTCTAGAAGTTCTAGATACATGTTTCATATTATCATATAGTCTTTTTAATAAAAAGTAGTGAAAACCAGTTTATTTTATCTAAAACAAGTTACATGTTGATTCTCATTAGTTACCGTAGTAACATTTGTAAAAATATAAATAAAAAATAGTCTTAATCAAATTTTAAATATAAACTAAGGTGAGGATTTGTTTAATCAATAGATTCTTTTATCTTTAATACATTTTTGAATGTTTTTGAATATTAATTATGAATGATAGATGAAGCGATTATATAAGCATTTATTTCACTAAAGACATGTATAGGGAACATCAATATATCGAACTTATGAAATACTTTCAAAAAATAATATGACGTAATCTTGATTGAGAGACAAATTGATAATTCTGTTATAAAAGTGTTCAATTTACTTCTTTTCCATTTGTAACAACGCACATTCGAAGGGGCTGATTCAAAATCAAGAGTTGATCTGAATTTTGAGCTAGTGTACTGAGTCTATGCAAGACTTCTACTGAAGCTTAGCTTAGGCAGAGATTGTATGATCGAAATTCCTAGATTTTCGATCCTAGTTTGCAAGAGGTCAACAAAAGT